ATAATACAACTATTTGATAAATTAAATTTTTCTCATCACCGTTTTTTTCTCTCTCAATCACTTTCTCACTCATTCTCTCACTCTCTCACTCTCTTACTCTCTCATTCACTCACTGCCCTTTTCAGCATGTCCATTGTGACCGTGTCGGAGATACTGAACCAGCACTGCTGAGGTCCCTCAGTTTCAGGCTCAAGCCCTGGTTCTGGATGTCTCTCTCAGGGGACTCAGAATGGCCACGTCAGACAAGCCATGCTTCTGTGCGTGTCTCTCTGAATGGTTCACAAAGGTTGTCTCTCGTAACTTTGCGATAAGCCACTGAGATCCTCGGGTTCCAAGATTCAAGCCCTGGTTCTGGATGTCTCTCTCAGGGGATTCATAATGGCCACGTCAGACAAGCCATGCTTCTGTGCGTGTCTCTCTAAATGGTTCACAAAGGCTGTCTCTCATAACTTTGCGATGAGCCACTGAGATCCTCGGGTTCCAAGATTGAAGTCCTAGGTCTGGGTGTCTCTCACTCTCTTGGGGGGGGGGGGGGTTCACGGTGGCCGTGTCAGAGACGCTCAATCAGCTGAGAATCCTGGGTTCTAGCTCCTCTCCGGGGGGGGGGGGGGGGGTCGTGTGCACATCTTGCCAACTCCGTGATTATTTATTCAGGCGCCCGTCATCACCCAAAGCCTCGAGACGCTGTTTTCGTCACGTTGCTCGGTATTTTCGAGCCGATGATTGCTGCCTTTGGATAATTATTATTGCGCTTTCGCCTCCGCCGTGTGAGCCCTCGGGGTGTAGGGGTGGTGGGGGGTGGGGAGGTAGGCGGGGTGGGGGAGAGGTAGGGGGCTGGGGGGGGGGCGCACGCGATTAATTATCCGACGAACGCGCGTGGCGAGCTGGCACGCCGCTTGTGCCGCATTAGACCACCGCCAACGTAGCTGTGCCACTTCGCTCGTTGTGGGGATCCCCCCGCTCGCCCCCCCCCCCCCCCCCCCCCCGGGGAGACAGGCGGCTCCCAGGGGGTTTCAGCAAGCGGCTCGTTGGGGACCGGGTAGCTCTTACCACCTCGCCCACCTCGCCCACCTCGCCCACCTCGCCCACCTCGCCCACCTCGCCCACCTCGCGACTGCATCCGTACACACGTGGCGCCGCAGTCGGCCCCGGGGGGTAAACGGTTGGGGGGGTTGGGGGGGGGGGCAACCCTGCGGGTTTCTGGAGCCGAGTGTCGGGGTGCTCTGCGTAAGGGCGGCCTCGCCACGTTGTTGACTGATGGCTCGTGACCCACTGGTGACCCCCACAACCGCCCTCCGTGTCTCGCACTTCGGGCCAAGCGACCCCCCCCCCACTCCTCCTCCGTGCGGGGTGGACCGGACGCGGGGACGTGGCACGGAGACGTGGCACGGGGAGAGGGGAAGGCTTTTCTTGACGGCAGTGTCGCGGCACGGGATTGAGGAAATGGTGGCTCTGGACTCGCGTGCCTTCCTGCGTACCGACCCACACCTGCCCCCGATGAGCACGGTTGGCTACGTACGGTGTATGCACAAACTTCACGGGACCTCTCCTGTCGGTATCAAAATACAAGAATAGGTTTTACCCTTTCTGGCACTAAAACAGTTGTGTTAAGATGTTAAAACGCCAAACGATGGAAAAGCAGCGGGCAGACATGATCTCCCAAGCGAAATGCTGAGGGAGGGTGGCGTTTGTGCACAGACTGCCCTATATGACATCATAACAACAGTCTGGACCACTGGACGGGTTCCGCAGGATTGGAAGGATGCCCTGGTGGTCCCCCTCTTTAAGAAGGGGGACCGCACAGACTGTAACAACTACAGGGGCATCTCACTCCTCAGTGTGCCGGGAAAGGTCCTGGCAAGGGTTATTCAACATCGCTTTGCCAGGCACGCTGAGGAGAGGCTTGCGGAGCCCAAATGCGGTTTCAGGAAAGGGCGGTCCTGCACAGATGCCATACTTTCTTCCGTCTGCTACAGCAGAGGTGTAGGAAATTCCAGCAAGACCTACATCTCTGCTTTATTGACCTGGTCAAGGCCTATGATACCATCAGTAGGCCTGGGCTCTGGGTTGTTCTTCATGCTTTTGGAGTACCTGACCCTCGGCTCACGATCATTAAGGACCTTCATGATGATGAGCGGGCCCGGGTAAAACTACGTGGCCGGGAGTCAGAGCCATTCCCTGTACACCTTGGGGTGCGACAGGGATGTCCTCTGGCTCCCACATTATTTAACATCTATTTTGACCACATAGTTCGTGAAGCTTTCAATAGCTGTACCGGGGGAATCTCCATTTGGTACAGATATAATGGGAGGCTGATCGATGCCCAGGTGCAGTCAAGGGATGGCTTCCTATTGCTCAACCACGTTATGTATGCCGATTATTTGGTAATAGCTGCTCATTCAGAGGAGGAGTTGGAGACGCTGCTGCTGAGACTGGAGCGTTCTACTAAGAGATGGGGCCTTACCATCAGCCCCACCAAAACTAAGCACCTGCCTGGGTATTTTGTACCATCAGACACTCCACCCCCACAACTCTCAATCGGTGATGGGGCAGTTGTGGAGAGAGTGGAGCGTTTCCCAAACCTGGGCAATCTGCTTATGACCGGCTCCAGTTTAACAGCCGAGGTCTCACTCCGAATCAGTCGAGCGGCAATATCTTTTCATCGGTTGCGTAACGCTGTGTGGAAGCTACCTGGTCTGTCGCTCCGCACTAAGCTTCAGGTCTTCTCGGCCACGGTCATTCCCTCCCTTATCTACGCTTGCGAAACGTGGACCCCCCTAATGGAACATCTTCGCCGGTGAGAAACATTTAGGCTGGCCTGCCTACGATCCATCCTGGGTTTAACCAGGCTGAATTGTGTGAGGAGCTCACAAATCCTTGAAAGATCTGGGCATGGTCCCATCGGTGAGCTCCTCCGGCAGGCAAGGCTGCGTTGGCTGGGTCATGTAGCCCGTATGCCCAACCACTGCATGCCGAAACAGCTTTTGTTCGGCCGGATCGAGGGGGCAAAACGGGCGCGGCACGGGCTAGAGAAGAGATGGAGTGATGTGGTACAGGAGGACGTGGAGTTGAGTGGACTTGCCGATGACTGGTACCAGCGGTGTCAAGATCGGCCTCTGTGGAGGAGGCTCGTGAAGGACGCTACTGGGCAGTTGGAGGCAATCGCCCTCCAACAATAACGGAGGGCGGAGGAGCAACGCTCACAACAACGAGCGGAGGTCCGGTTGGCTAAAGCACAGCAGGTTGGCACAGTAGGGGGCACAGTTGGTGCATCAGCCAGTCATCTCAGTCATCTTAGTCAGTCGACTCGTGGCACTTGGGTCTGCCCCTTGACCTCCTGCCTGCGGGCGTTCGACACTTCACGTGGCCTCAAGGTGCACATGGCATGGCACAAGCGTCGTGGTGACGTCACCACCACTTAGTGGCGAATGGCGGTTGTTGTTGTTGCTGTTGTGTGTGTGTATGTATATGTGTATGTATATGTGTGTGTATGTGTGTGTGTATGTGTGTCTGGCAGGATTTTCGTGCGTCCCAGACCGAGTTTAATCCGCCCTGACCACAGTGATTGAACCGGATTCTCCAGTGCCAGTCATCTGGAGACCGACCACACCAGTGGCTCACGTTGAGATAAAAAACACGTTGTGTGTGTGTATGTGTGTGTGTGTATGTGTGTGTTGTATGTGTGTGACTGGGTCATGTAGCCCGCATGCCTAGCCACCGCATGCTGAAACAGCTTTTGTTCTGCCGGATCGAGGGGGCTAAACGGGCGCGGCACGGGATAGAGAAGAGATGGAATGATGTGGTACAGGAGGACGTGGAGCTGAGCGGACTTGCCAATGACTGGTACCAGCGTTGTCAAGATCGGCCTCTGTGGAGGAGGCTCGTGAAGGACGCTACTGGGCAGTTGGAGGTAGTCGCCCTCCAACAACAACGGAGGGCGGAGGAGCGACGCTCACAACAACGAGCGGAGCGCCGGGTGGCTAAAGCACAGCAGGTTGGCACAGTAGGGGGCACAGGTGGTGCATCAGCCAGTCATCTCAGTCATCTTAGTCAGTCTACCCGTGGCACTTGGGTCTGCCCTGTGACCTCCTGCCAGCGGGCATTCGACACTTCACGTGGCCTCAAGGTGCACATGGCCTGGCACAAGCATTGTGGTGACGTCACCGCCACTTAGTGGCGAGTGGCGGTTGTTGTATATGTGTGTGTGTGTGTATGTTTGTGTATGTATGTGTGTGTATGTGTGGGGAACGGTAGTGTAGCGGTTAGCGCGCTGTGCTACGAACCTGGCGACCCGGGTTCGATTCCCGCTCACGGCCAACACCAGGTGACGATTATCTGAACCGGTCCTGGCCTCCCCTAGGTCGACTCAGCCTTAAATGGGTGCTTGGTGCGGTGTGTAGTAAACATCGCCACTGGGGAGACAAAGGCGGCCGGGCGTGGTGCTGCTGCCCACACCACCTCCTCGTGTGCCGTGCCGGCCTTTATAGGTGCTGCTCGCTAACAGCACTTGCCCCTACAGTCTGTTGCAGGCTACACGGGGGACCTTTGTCTTTGTGTGTGCTAGCTAACAGCGCTTGCCCCTGCAGTCTGTTACAGGCTACACGAGGGACCTTTGTCTTTGTTCACCTGTATGTGTACACGCGTGTGTACGTGTATGTTTGAGTGTATAGGGAGCGGTGGGTGTAGCGGTTAGCACTACGCTGCACTACGAACCCGGCGACCCGAGTTCGATCCCCGCTCACGGCCACCAACACCGTTGACGGATTTTCTGAACCGGTACCTGGGCCTCCCTTAGGTCGACTCGGCCTCAAACAAATTATTACCTGGTGCAGTGTGTCATGAAAATCGCCACTGGGGGAGACAAAGGCGGCCGGGCGCGGCGTTGGCCACCCTTCTCCCTCGTGTGCCGTGGCGGCCTTCATTCGGCGCCGCCGCTGGCTAACAGCACTTGGCCCCAGCGGTGGCGTGAGAGACTACACGGGGGACCTTTGTCTGTGCAGGGCTGGCGTGCGCCTCTCAGCTGGACCTGCCCGGGGAAGAGATCGACTTCATTTCGGAGCAGCTGAAGGAGCGCAGCTTGCAGGATGCCGGTGAGAGACACGGGGAGGAGGTGGAGGAGGAGACACGGGGGGGGGGAGACACGGGGGGGGGAGACACGGGGGGGGAGACACGGGGGGGGAGACACGGGGGGGGAGACACGGGGGGGGAGACACGGGGGGGAGACACGGGGGGGGGAGACACGGGGACAGCTGCCACTGAGGGTGCCCACTTTCAGATGTGTTGAGATGTGAAGCGGCGTACAGGAGGCAGCTCTATCGGACACACACACACAGACATACACACACAGACACACACAGACACACACACACAGACACACACACAGACACACACAGACACACACACAGACACACACACACAGACACACACACACAGACACAACAACAACAACCGCCATTCGCCACTAAGTGGCGTTGACGTCACCACGACGCGTGTGCCAGGCTATGTGCACCCTGAGGCCACGTGAAGTGTCGAACGCCCGCTGGCAGGAGGTCACGGGGCAGACCCAGGTGCCACGGGTCGACTGACTGAGATGACTGGCTGATACACCACCTGTGCCCCGTACTGTGCCAACCTGCTGTGCTTTAGCCACCCGGCGCTCCGCTCGTTGTTCTGAGCGTCGTTCCTCCGCCCTCCGTTGTTGTTGGAGGGCGACTACCTCCAACTGCCCAGTAGCGTCCTTCACGAGCCTCCTCCACAGAGGCCGATCTTGACACCGCTGGTACCAGTCATCGGCAAGTCCACTCAGCTCCACGTCCTCCTGTACCACATCACTCCATCTCTTCTCTAGCCCGTGCCGCGCCCGCTTAGCCCCCTCGATCCGGCCGAACAAAAGCTGTTTCGGCATGCGGTGGCTGGGCATGCGGGCTACATGACCCAGCCATCGCAGCCTTCCCCGCCGGAGGAGCTCACCGATGGGACCTTGCCCAGATCTTTCAAGGATTTGTGAGCTCCTCACACAATCCAGTCTGATTAAACCCAGGATGGATCGTAGGCAGGCCAGCCTAAATGTTTCTAACCGGCGAAGATGTTCCATTAGGGGGGTCCACGTTTTGCTAGCGTAGAGAAGGGAGGGAATGACCGTGGCCGAGAAGACCTGAAGCTTAGTGCGGAGCGACAGACCAGGTAGCTTTCACACAGCGTTACGCAACCGATGAAAAGATATTGCCGCTCGACTGATTCGGAGTGAGACCTCGGCTGTTAAACTGGAGCCGGTCATAAGCAGATTGCCCAGGTATGGGAAACTCTCCACTCTCTCCACAACTGCCCCATCACCGATTGGGAGTTGTGGGGATGGAGTGTCCGATGGTACAAAATACCCAGGCAGGTGATTAGTTTTGGTGGGGCTGATGGTAAGGCCCCACCTCTTAGTGGCACGCTCCAGTCTCAGCAGCAGCGTCTCCAACTCGTCCTCTGAATGAGCAGCTATTACCAAATCATCAGCATACATTACGTGGTTGAGCAATAGGGAGCCATCCCTTGACCGCACCCGGGCATCGATCAGCCTCCCATTATATCTTTACCATATGGAGATTCCCCCGGTACAGCTATTGAAGGCTTCACGAACTACGTGGTCAAAATAGATGTTAAATAATGTGGGAGCCAGAGGACATCCCTGTCGCACCCCAAGGTGTACAGGGAATGGCTCTGACTCCCAGCCACGTAGTTTTACCCGGGCCCGCTCACCATCATGAAGGTCCTTAATGATCGTGAGCAGAGGGTCAGGTACTCCAAAAGCACGAAGAACAACCCAGAGCCCAGGCCTACTGATGGTATTATAGGCCTTGACCAGGTCAATAAAGCAGAGATGTAGGTCTTGTTGGAATTCCCTACACCTCTGCTGTAACAGACGGACAGAAAATATGGCATCTGTGCAGGACCGCCCTTTCCTGAAACCGCATTGGGGCTCCGCAAGCCTCTCCTCAGCGTGCCTGGCAAGGCGATGTTGAATAATCCTTGCCAGGACCTTTCCCGGCACACTGAGGAGTGAGATGCCCCTGTAGTTGTTACAGTCTGTGTGGTCCCCCTTCTTAAAAAGGGGGACCACCAGGGCATCCTTCCAATCCTGAGGAACCCGTCCAGTGGTCCAGACTGTTGTTATGATGTCATATAGGGCAGTCTGTGCACAAACGCCACCCTCCCTCAGCATTTCGCTTGGGAGATCATCTCTGCCCGCTGCCTTTCCTGGTCTCAGACTCCGGATCGCCTTCAGTACTTCCTCAACAGATGGCACGTCAGCCAGCCACTCACAGGGGGTGACTTCTTCCAATATTTGAGGCACCGCAGCCTCAGCAGGGTCATCCTCACTTTGTGCCACGATGTTTTCCTGGCTGAGGGATTTTCCCTCCCCCAGGACCTCACAGAAATGCTCAGCAAATCTGCAAACCTGTTCCTTGGGGTCGGAGATTGGATCACCGTTTTTTCCCATAATGATGGTAATATGTGTAGCGCTGCAGGTTACTTTTTTGATGGAGTTAAATAGAGATTTGTGATCGCGGGCCACTGAGGCAGACTCCATCTCCTCAGCAACCCGCGACCACCACCCATCCTTGCAGCGCCTCACGGCTCTCCGAACCTCCGAGCGAAGGCTGCGGTAAGCCTCCTCATTCTCTGACGTGGGATTCTGTAGCCGATGACAGTGGACCTGTCACTTTTTCTCAACCATCTTGAACACCTCCCCTGTCAGCCAGGGTCTCTGGGGAGGTCTGGACCGCGTACCCAAAGCAGCCAATGCAGCTGCATGAGTCACAGTCCTAAACCTCGCCCATTTACCTTCGACATCAGGAGGAGTGGGGGACGATGCCAACCCCAGCCGTAGGTGATGATGAAATTCTCGCTTGCAACTTTCATCAGATAACTGAGACCAGGCCACTTTAGGTTGGAATGGGGTCCTGGGTGTACACCCACCACCGGAGCGGAAGAATGGCAGGCGCATCTTACAGATGACAAGTCGATGGTCAGAGGGCAGATCAGCTCCACGGTAATCCTGGTGTCAAGGACATGGGCTTGCATCCGCTGGTCTGTCACTATGTAGTCCAGCAGATGTTCTTGCTTGGACCCGGCATGCATCCATGATGTTGTGTGGATGCGCCGATGCCGGAACAGCGTGTTGGTAATTACAAGCCCATGGGCTGCACAAAAATCTAGCAGCCTCCTACCGTTGTTATTGAGCTGATCTGGCCCATGCCCTCCAATCACTCCAGACCAGGTGCCAGCATCATGACCAACTTAGGCATTGAAGTCACCCAGCATGATGACTCTATCCCGAGGGTCCACTTTAGCCAGCACCTGTGACAGGAGGTCATAGAAGGCATCTGACTCATCGGCTTTGCCTGCATCCCTCCACGGATGTTCGTCTTCGGTTGGGGTGCATGAGTAACCATGACCACCACTCCTCGCCTCCGATTGATAGGAAGGCGAGCCCAAAGATGCCTGGGGCTTACAGCTTCCCACACCTCACTGCCACGCTCCCACGCCCCCCCTTCATTATTTTGTTCAAAAGAAGAGCCACACGCACATACAGACACACACACACACACAGAGACACACACACACACAGACACACACACACACAGACACACCACCATCATTGTCACCACTCGTGTCGAGCTTTGACCCTCGCTGTCACGCATGTGAGTGAAATCCCGTTTCTTTTCTCCCTCCACCCCACCTCTACAGCGCCAGCGCCCAGGTCGGCTCCACTGGGCCCCAATGGCCGAGGGAGCCCAAACGCCTCCGCCGTGACCTCCGCCGTGACCTCCGCCGCCCCGGGCCCCGCTGGGGTCGACAAGTGGCAAAATTCGCACCATGACCCTGGCACCGACACGCTCTTCCTGAGTACGCACGCACGCTCACGCTCACGCGCGGCCACGCACGCACAGGCGCGCGGGCACGTGCGCGCGGGCACGTGCGCACGAGCAGACACGCGCGCGTACGGTCACGCACAGCCGCGCACGGTTGCGCTGCGCGCGGTCAGATCAACAACGCGAGCCGCATCAACTCGTAAGCAAGCGCCGGCGCCACCGCACGGAATGAGCTCCTCGCTCTCGGAGAGGGAGGACGACTCGGAGAGAGAGAGAGAGAGAGAGAGGACGACTCAGAGAGAGAGAGGACGACTCAGAGAGAGAGGACGACTCAGAGAGAGAGGACGACTCAGGGAGAGAGAGGACGACTCAGAGAGAGAGAGGATGACTCAGAGAGAGAGAGAGGGGGGGGGCGACTCAGAGAGAGGACGACTCAGAGAGAGAGAGGACGACTCGGAGAGAGGGGACGACTCAGAGAGAGAGAGGACGACTTAGAGAGAGAGGACGACTCAGAGAGAGAGAGAGGACGACTCAGAGAGAGAGGACGACTCAGAGAGAGGATGACTCAGAGAGAGAGAGAGAGAGAGGACGACTCAGAGGGAGAGAGAGATGACGACTCAGAGAGAGGGGACGACTCAGAGAGAGAAGACGACTCAGAGAGAGAGAGAGAGATGACGACTCAGAGAGAGAGGGAGAGAGAGAGGACGACTCAGAGAGAGAGGACGACTCAGAGAGAGAGAGAGGACGACTCAGAGAGAGGACGACTCCTCAGAGGAGGTGCCAGGAGGAGGAGGAACCACAAACGAGGAGTGGGAAGGCGGCAGCAGCAGCAGCAGCAGCAGCCACGCGGCGGTGAGGAGCCAGTGGCGCCACCAACAATCGCCCACGCTCTGCCGTCCTCTGTATAGGAAGGTGGCATCGGACTACGAATGAGTCCGTTGCACGTGTGGGAGGAAACCGGGAGCGCCCGGAGATAACCGACGAGTGTGAGCAAGGGGGAAACACTCGATCCCGTACATACGGAGGAGGTGGAGTCCGCACGTTGCCGTGCCGCCTTCTGCCTGGTTGCGACTCCTCATTGACGAGATGTTAACTACCTCGCCTGGTGTGCAGGAGGTCGTGGGTTCGATCCCGACCCCTGACGCCTGCTGCTGCTGTATATTTGGAGTTTGCGTGTCTCTCTCTCTCATCATCACGGTGGCTATGAGATGTTAACTACCTCGCCTGGTGTGCAGGACGTCGTGGGTTCAATCCTAACCCTGACGCCTGCTGCTGTATATTTTGAGTCTGCGTGTCTCTCTCTCTCTCTCTCTCACCGTGGTCGCGTGGATTTTCCCCCGGGTCCTCCGGTTTTTCCCTCCACATTTAGAATAAACGTCGCCACGTGTTTAGAGATATTTGGCTGCTGCTATAAACTTCCACACGACGGTGATGATGAGCCACCTTCGTTGAGCTATCATTTGTGGCCAGGTCGCTTCTGAAAACAGTGAGCTGTACATAGCTCAGTGAGCCTTACCTGGTAAAAAAAAAAAAATGTTGTTGAGTTTATAGTTTACACAACGCGTCGGAGAGGACTTCCACTACCCGGGAGACGGAGCGAGGCTGAGAGTGATCCCTGCGTTGCACGATGATCTTTGTTCTTCGTGCGATGGCTGTGTCTGTGTGTCCGTGTCTCTCCTCCCCGCTCCCACTGGCAGTCATACTCATAGCCTGTGTGGTCACCGGAACAGCGGGACTCATTCTGGCTGTGGTCTGCTGTTACTAGTGAGTACAGCCCACACTGACACGCGCACACCGACACGCACAACAACAACAACCGCCATTCGCCACTAAGTGGCGGTGACGTCAGCACGACGCTCGTGCCAGGCCATGTGCACCTTGAGGCCACGTGAAGTGTCGAACGCCCGCGGGCAGGAGGTCACGGGGCAGACCCAGGTGCCACGGGTCGACTGACTGAGATGACTGAGACGACTGGCTGATGCACCACCTGTGCCCCCTACTGTGCCAACCTGCTGTGCTTTAGCCACCCGGCGCTCCGCTCGTTGTTGTGAGCGTAGCTCCTCCGCCCTCCGTTGTTGTTGGAGGGCGAGTAGCTCCAACTGCCCAGTAGCGTCCTTCACGAGCCTCCTCCACAGAGGCCGATCTTGACACCGCTGGTACCAGTCATTGGCAAGTCCACTCAGCTCCACGTCCTCCTGTACCACATCACTCCATCTCTTCTCGAGCCCGTGCCGCGCCCGTTTAGCCCCCTCGATCCGGCCGAACAAAAGCTGTTTCGGCATGCGGTGGCTGGGCATGCGGGCTACATGACCCAGCACACACACGCACACACACACGCGCACACACGCGCACACACACGCACACACACACCCCCCCCACCACACCCCCCCCCCCCCCCCAATCTTCAAATATGCTCAGAATATATTGCTATAAAATATATTTCTGTTTCTATGATTGTGGTTATTGTTGTACTTTATTAATCCCTAATCTCTGCCATTACATACACTGAAACAAGAAAAGGTAAAAAAGTGAAAACAGAGCAATGTAATACAATAACACTATTAGACATTGTTATAAATACAATAAAAAGTACATCCCATGTGTTAGTGCATTTTTTTATATTTTAGGCAGGAAATTCGTTTTAAAATGTAGTTTTTTTTTTTCTGGGGGGCTGGACCCCCAGACCCCCTGGAAGATTTTGTCCCCCCCCAATGTTGACTCCATGGCTACGGCGTTTGTCTGCGGTGTGTGCAGCATGCAGCGGAGTGCGAAGAAGGCGGAGAAGGCTGGCTACCCGGCGTTCGGGGCCACGGCGGGGCAGGCCGAGCCCAGCAAGGGCCTGGTGAGGGCCTCCTCTCCCCCGCGCCCCCCCCCCCCGTGTCTCCCCGTGTCTCCTCGTGTCTCAGTGTCTCCCCGTGTCTCAGTGTTTCTCTGTCTCCCCGTCTCAGTGTCTCCCCGTGTCTCAGTGTTTCTCTGTCTCCCCGTGTCTCGGTGTCTCCCCGTGTCTCAGTGTCTCCCCGTGTGTCAGTGTCTCAGTGTTTCTCTGTCTCCCCGTGTCTCCGTGTCTCCCCGTGTCTCAGTGTTTCTCTGTCTCCCCGTGTTTCTCTGTCTCCCTGTGTTTCAGTGTTTCTCTGTCTCCCCGTGTCTCCGTGTCTCCCCGTGTCTCAGTGTTTCTCTGTCTCCCCATGTCTCAGTGTCTCCCGTGTCTCCGTGTCTCCCCGTGTCTCAGTGTTTCTCTGTCTCCCCGTGTCTCGGTGTCTCCCCGTGTCTCAGTGTCTCCCCGTGTCTCAGTGTTTCTCTGTCTCCCCGTGTCTCAGTGTCTCCCCGGTCTCAGTGTCTCCCCGTGTCTCAGTGTTTCTCTGTCTCCCCGTGTCTCCGTGTCTCCCCGTGTCTCAGTGTCTCCCCGTGTCTCAGTGTCTTTCTGTCTCCCCGTGTCTCAGTGTCTCAGTGTCTCCTCGTGTTTCAGTGTTTCTCTGTCTCCCCGTGTCTCCGTGTCTCCCCGTGTCTCAGTGTTTCTCTGTCTCCCCGTGTTTCAGTGTCTCAGTGTTTCCCCGTGTCTCAGTGTTTATCTGCGTCTCCCGCCGTGTCTCCCAGTGTCTCCCCCAGTGTCTCAGTGTCTCCCCGTGTCTCAGTGTCTCCCCGTGTCTCAGTGTTTCTCTGTCTCCCCGTGTCTCATTGTCTCCCCGTGTCTCAGTGTTTCTCTGTCTCCCCGTGTTTCAGTGTCTCAGTGTCTCCCGGTGTCTCAGTGTTTCTCTGTCTCCCCGTGTCTCAGTATCTCCCCGTGTCTCCGTGTCTCCCCGTGTCTCAGTGTTTCTCTGTCTCCCCGTGTCTCAGTGTCTCCTCGTGTCTCAGTGTCTCCCCGTGTCTCAGTGTTTCTCTGTCTCTCAGTGTCTCCCCGTGTCTCAGTGTTTCTCTGTCTCCCCGTGTCTCAGTGTCTCCCCGTGTCTCAGTGTCTCAGTGTCTCCCCGTGTTTCAGTGTCTCAGTGTCTCCCCGTGTCTCAGTGTTTCTCTGTCTCCCCGTGTCTCAGTGTCTCCCCGTGTCTCAGTGTCTCCCCGTGTCTCAGTGTCTCCCCCTGTCTCGTTGTCTCCCCGTGTCTCAGTGTCTCCCGTGTCTCAGTGTTTCTCTGTCTCCCCGTGTCTCCGTGTCTCCCCGTGTCTCAGTGTCTCCCCGTGTCTCAGTGTTTTTTCTGTCTCCCCGTGTCTCAGTGTCTCAGTGTCTCCTCGTTTCTCAGTGTTTCTCTGTCTCCCTGTGTCTCAGTGTCTCCCCGTGTCTCAGTGTTTCTCTGCGTCTCCCGCCGTGTCTCCCAGTGTCTCCCCCAGTGTCTCAGTGTCTCCCCATGTCTCAGTGTCTCCCCGTGTCTCAGTGTCTCAGTGTCTCCCCGTGTCTCAGTGTTTCTCTGTCTCCCCGTGTCTCAGTGTCTCCCCGTGTCTCAGTGTTTCTCTGTCTCCCCGTGTCTCAGTGTCTCCCCGTGTCTCCGTGTCTCCCCGTGTCTCAGTGTTTCTCTGTCTCCCCGTGTCTCAGTGTCTCCTCGTGTCTCCCCGTGTCTCAGTGTTTCTCTGTCTCTCAGTGTCTCCCCGTGTCTCAGTGTTTCTCTGCGTCTCCCGCCGTGTCTCCCAGTGTCTCCCCCAGTGTCTCAATGTCTCAGTGTCTCCCCGTGTCTCAGTGTCTCCCCGTGTCTCAGTGTCTCCCCCTGTCTCGTTGTCTCCCCGTGTCTCAGTGTCTCCCCGTGTCTCAGTGTTTCTCTGTCTCCCCGTGTCTCAGTGTCTCCCCGTGTCTCAGTGTTTCTCTGTCTCCCCGTGTCTCAGTGTCTCCCCGTGTCTAAGCCGTGGCTTCCCGTGTCTCATTGTTTCTCTGTGTCTCCCGCCGTGTCTGCTCGTGTCTCTCCGTGTTGTCTCCCTGTGTCTCCCTGTATCTCCGTGCCTCTCCCCTTGTCTCCCCCCATGGCTCCCCATGTCTCACCGTGTCTCCCCCCCCCCCATGTCTCCCTGTGTCTCCTCCCGTGTCTCACCTTATCGCCCCACGTCTTCCCGTGTTGTTTCCCCGCGTCTGTCCGTGCCCGTGTCTCAGCGTCTCGGCGTCGGTGCCTCTCAGTGTCGGCATCAGCCTCTAATTTCGTGACCCCGTGACCCCGTGACATTTGACCTGTGACCTACTAAACAAATGCGGCGACCTTTGACTTCGTGACCCACGACCTCCGTGTCCCCGTCAACTCTCCAATTCCGGCAACCCTCGTGGCAGCTCGCTCTGTCCATCCGTCACCCTTTGACCCCGCCAATCTCGACCCGTCGACCTCTGACCTGGCGAACCCCCACCCACGTGACACTCGACCCAACGAGCCATTCATAACCCGTTGACCTTTCCTGCGTGCCCCCCCCCCCCGCCCCTCCCCCATTCCCCGCCCCGCCCCTCCCCCACCCCAACCCCTCCCCCACCCCCCGCCCCACCCTCGCCCCTCCCCCACCCTCGTCCCTCACCCCCCACCCCGCGTCTCCCCCACCCCCGCCCCTCCCCCACCCCCTCTCCCACCCCCGCCCCTTCCCATCCCCGCCCCCCCACCCCCGCCACTCCCCACCCCCTCCCCCCACTCCGATCCCCGTAGTCCGGGGACCGCAAGCTGGCGCAGAGTGCACAGATGTACCACTACCAGCACCAGAAGCAGCAGATCATGGCCATGGAGCGGTGAGTGTGGGGGGGTGACTGGGCCCTCTACCTCCAGTGGTGGAGGGGTGGTGGGGATGGGGGTAGGGGGGGCGAGCAAGGTCGTGCATGGCCACGGACTCGCAAAGGGTTCATAATGGGCAGGCTGGCACCCGCCGTGCCTCGCGGGAAGAACTTCCTGGGTGTCGGAAGTCACGCACCCCCACCTCTGTTCTGCAGATTGTTGTTGTTTGAACGTGAGCGCGTGAGTGAGAGCGTGAGTGAGAGCGTGAGTGAGAGCGTGAGTGAGAGCGTGAGTGAGAGCGTGAGAGAGAGTGAGAGAGCGTGAGAGTGAGCGCGTGAGAGTGAGAGCGTGCGAGAGAGCGTGTGCGTGTGTGAGAGAGAGTGTGAGAGGGAGAGAGAGCGTGAGAGAGAGCGTAAGGGAGAGCGCGTGAGAGTGAGCGAGAGTGTGAGAGAGCGTGAGAGAGAGAGTGAGCGAGAGTGTGAGCGTGCAAGCGTGAGAGAGAAAGCGTGAGTGAGAGTGAGCGAGAGTGTGAGAGAGAGAGAGAGCGTGAGAGAGCGTGAGAGAGAGAGAGAGCGTGAGAGAGAGAGAGAGAGCGTGAGAGAGAGAGAGAGCGTGAGAGAGAGAGAGAGAGAGCGTGAGAGAGAGAGCGTGAGAGAGAGAGAGCGTGAGAGAGAGAGAGCGTGAGAGAGAGAGAGCGTGAGAGAGAGAGAGCGTGAGAGAGAGAGAGCGTGAGAGAGTGTGAGAGAGAGTGAGTGAGCGTGAGAGAGAGCGAGCGAGCGTGAGAGAGAGCGTGAGCGACCGTGAGAGAGAGCGTGAGCGACCGTGAGAGAGAGCGTGAGCGACCGTGAGAGAGAGCGTGAGCGACCGTGAGCGAGCGTGAGCGACCGTGAGCGAGCGTGAGCGACCGTGAGCGAGCGTGAGCGAGCGTGAGCGAGCGTGAGCGACCGTGAGCGAGCGTGAGCGAGCGTGAGCGAGCGTGAGCGACCGTGAGCGAGCGAGTGGGGAGGGACAATGGAGCGATCAGCGCTCCGCTCTCCCATGAACCCGGCGACCTCCCAGTTCGATTGTCCGCTCACGGCCGCCAGCGCCGGTGACAAAATATCCAAACGGATTGTGGGCCTCCCCTAGGTCGACTCAGCCTCAAGTGAGTACCTGGTTCGCGTATGTGTAGTAAAACATCAGCACTGGGGAGACAAAGGCGGTCGGTGTATATGTACCTACGTACGTGCGTCCGCCTCTATGTGTCCGTGTGTGTCCGTGTGATCATTAAGGACCTTCGTGATGGTGAGCGGGCCCGGGTAAAACTACGTGGCCGGGAGTCAGAGCCATTCCCTGTACACCTTGGGGTGCGACAGGGATGTCCTCTGGCTCCCACATTATTTAACATCTATTTTGACCACGTAGTTCGTGAAGCCTTCAATAGCTGTACCGGGGGAATCTCCATTTGGTACAGATATAATGGGAGGCTGATCGATGCCCGGGTGCGGTCAAGGGATGGCTCCCTATTGCTCAACCACGTTTTGTATGCCAATGATTTGGTAATAGCTGCTCATTCAGAGGAGTTGGAGACGCTGCTGCTGAGACTGGAGCGTGCCACTAAGAGATGGGGCTTTACCATCAGCCCCACCAAAACTAAGCACCTGCCTGGGTATTTTGTACCATCGGACACTCTACCCCCACAACTCGCAATCGGTGATGGGGCAGTTGTGGAGAGAGTGGAGAGTTTCCCATACCTGGGCAGTGTGCTTATGACCGGTTCCAGTTTAGCAGCAGAGGTCTCACTCCAAATCAGTCGAGCGGCAATATCTTTTCATCGGTTGCGTAACGCTGTGTGGAAGCTACCTGGTCTGTCGCTCCGCACTAAGCTTCAGGTCTTCTCGGCCACGGTCATTCCCTCCCTTCTCTACGCTTGCGAAACGTGGACCCCCTTAATGGAACATCTTCGCCGGTTAGAAACATTTAGGCTAGCCTGCCTATGATCCATTCTGGGTTTAACCAGGCTGGATTGTGTGAGGAGCTCACAAATCCTTGAAAGATCTGGGCAAGGTCCCATCGGTGAGCTCCTCCGGCAGGCAAGGCTGCGATGGCTGGGTCATGTAGCCCGCATGCCCAGCCACCGCATGCCGAAACAGCTTTTGTTCAGCAGGATCGAGGGGGCTAAGCGGGAGCGGCACGGGCTAGAGAAGAGATGGAGTGATGTGGTACAGGAGGACGTGGAGCTGAGTGGATTTGCCGATGACTGGTACCAGCGGTGTCAAGATCGGCCTCTGTGGAGGAGGCTCGTGAAGGACGCTACTGGGCAGTTGGAGGCAGTCGCCCTCCAACAACAACAACAACGGAGGGCGGAAGAGCGACGCTCACAACAACGAGCGGAGCGCTAGGTGGCTAAAGCACAGCAGGTTGGCACAGTATGGGGCACAGGTGGTGCATCAGCCAGTCATCTCAGTCAGTCGATCCGTGGCACCTGGGTCTGCCCCGTGACCTCCTGCCAGCGGGCGTTCGACACTTCACGTGGCCTCAAGGTGCACATAGCCTGGCACAAGCGTCGTGGGGACGTCACCGCCACTTAGTGGCGAATGGCGGTTGTTGTTGTTGTTGTGTGATGTAACGGGGAGCGGTGGTGCAGCGGTTAGCGCTGTTGCTGGCCACCCACCGCCCCTCGCGTGCCGTAGGCGTTGCTGCTACTGTCAAACATCATTTGACTTGGTTAATGGGGTTTAGAAGGGGACTACGGCTTCATTTGGGGGGCTGTTGATGACGACGACGATGACGACGACGATGATGATGATGATGACAATGTTGATGATGTTGATGACGATGTTGATGATGTGTGCGATGTGGACGATGTTGATGACGTTGATGACGATGTTGATGTTCATGGCGATGATGATGCGGATAAAGATGACGATGTTGATGGCGATGATGATGATGTGTGTGCCATGTGGACGATGTTGATGTTCATGGCGGTGATGATGCAGATGATGATGACGATGTTGATGCTGTTCATGGCGATGATGATGACGACGACGACGATGATGTTGATGATGTTTATGGTGATGACGATGATGTTGATGACGATGTTGATGACGATGTTGATGATGATGATGTTGATGATGTGGACGATGTAGGAGTAAGGAGGCAGCCCCTCCGCTCGGCTCGGACAGTGAGGATGATGGAGAGGAGGAGGGAGACTTCACGGTGTACGAGTGCCCTGGCCTGGCGCCTGTAAGCAGCAACAACCACAACAACAACCACCACAACAACACCCACCACAACCACTATAACTAATACAACGACAACAACCACCACCACAACTACTACTACAACCACCACAACAACAACAAGCCACGTGACCACGGGGAGAGAGAGAGAGAGAGACACGCAAACAGGCGTCAAGGTTCGGGATCAAACCCACGACCTCCTGCATACCAGGCGAGGTAGTCAACATCTCCTAGCCACCGTGGCGCCCCTTGAACATCCCCTGTGCTTCTTTGGTTCTTTTGGTAAAGTCACGTAGAATGAGAATAAAATAATATTGAGAATACAATAATAAAATAATATTTTATTCTCATTCTACGTGACTTTACCGAAAGAACCAAGGAAGATGAATCCTTGCAGTCACGAAAGCTTTAAATCGAAATCCCCTGTGCTGTCTCTCCCCACACCCACTCCCGTGACCCCGTGACCCCGTGGCAGACGGGGGAGATGGAGGTGAGGAATCCACTGTTCGACGACTCCACTCTGCCCGACAACAAGAAGAGTCACGAGCAGAGCAACGGCACCCACTAGGGCACTCGGAAACCACCACCACCGCAACAACCACCACAATAACAACAACCACCACAATAACAACAACCACCACAATAACAACAACCACCACAATAACAACAACCACCACAATAACAACAACCACCACAGTAACAACCGCCACCACAATCACCACCACCACAATCACCACCACCACAACAACCACCACCACAATAACAACCAACACCACAATCACCGCCATCGCCATCACAACAACCACCACCGCCAGCACAACCAGCACAACCACACGGCAAGACAACGTGACGACAGCTAAACAGCAACAACAACAGCCACAATCCATACACACGGCAGCCAGCCACGTAACAACAGCGGAACGACGACAACAACGATCACACAACAATAACAACAACAACGCCACAACCACAGACACCGATGGGAATATCCGCGTGAGTGCGAAAAGCGGTGCAACTGCACCCGGTGCTGTACGGGAATACGCACAGGCACACAACAACCGTAGAGACATAACCGGTGACCCCATGGCCAGGCAGGGTTTCCTACACCGTGGCTCACGCTCGCTCGCTCGCTCGCTGGCACACTCACTCACCCACTCGCTCACCCGCCAACTCGCTCACCCGCCCACTCACCCACTCGCTCACCCGCCCACTCATTCACTCGCTCACCCACCCACTCATTCAGCCACTAAACTCGCCCCATCATTGGACTACCCACCAGTTCAATCGTTCAGTCACTCGGCAAGTAACTCACTCACTAAGACACTCACCCACTCGCTCACCCGCCCACTCATTCAGCCACTAAACTCACCCCCTCGTTTTCCTACTCACCAACTCATTCGTTCAGTCACTCGCCAAGTAAATCAATGATACCCCAAATGCTCACTCGGTCACAGACTCCACCCATCTACTTCACCAACTAATTCGCCCACTCATTCGCCCACTCATTCACCCACTCATTCGCCCACTCATTTACCCACTCATTTACCCACTCATTCACCAACTCATTCGCCCACTCATTCACCCACTCATTCGCCCACTCGTCCACTCACTCGCCCACTCACAACCCAATCAAGTATCCACACACTCACTCAGTCACACCACTCACCCATCCACCCACTCACCCACCCACTCACCCACCCACTCACCCACCGACCCACTCACTCACCCACCCACACACCCACCCACACACCCACTCACCAACCCACTCACCCACTCACCTGTTGAGTTTAAGGGCTGCACGTTTCTTTTCCAAGGTAAAATTTAAGATGCAAAATAAGACATGTAATCAAAATTAACGATGTACTGTTAATGTAAATAATATATAATTCTATTACATACACATTATACCCATGCTATGTTATCGAGATAATCAAACATTGTATGAGACACTACAAAGACAAAAGATCCCCCCCCGTACAGCCTTAACAGATCATTGGGGCAAGTGCTGTTAACGACAACCTACGAAGGCCGACACGGCACGCAAGGGGGGTGGCGTGGCCAACACCACGCCTGGCCGCCTTTGTCTCCCCAGTTGCGATGTTTACTACACACCACGCCGGGTTACTCATTTAAGGCTGAGTCGACCTGGGGGGAGGGGTGGGGGGGTGGGGGGGTGGGGGGGGACCCAGCACCGGTTCAGATATCCGCTGCTGCTCTGGTTGTGAGCGAGAATCGAACGCTCACCCCAGGGCACAGTGGGCCAGATGCGTGGCCTGCCACTCCCATTTCACAGGGCCCCTGGCGGCCACCTTGGGCCCACCACTTCCAGACAACGGGGGCGCCCACGGTGGCTAGGAGATGTTGACTACCTCGCCTGGTATGCAGGAGGTCGTGGGTTCGATCCCGACCCTGTGACGCCTGCTGCTGTATATTTGCGGTGTCTCTCTCTCTCTCACCGTGGTTTTCGGTTTTTTCCCCTCCACATTTAGAACCGCGTTTTTGAATTATTTGGCCACTGCAATGAATTTTCCCACGTGGTGACAATTGAGCTCACTTCCGTCGAGTCAACTTTGTGTCATTTGTGATAGCTTCTGAAAGAGAGCCATACAGCTCAGTTGGGGCCTTACCTGCCCAAAAAAAAATAGTTTCGGAGTTTTTAGTTTAGATATCATGTTTGGCTGCGTCGGGTGGTGGAGGGTCTCGACGACACAGATTTGGTCGGGTCGACGGGCGCGTTCGCCCGCTAGTTGCGGCGGGGTGGGGGGGGGGGGTGGTGGTTCGCGGATTCGATATCGAGCGGCCGCCCTGGTTAATGCGACGGCTGCGTGCCCTCCGCTCCAAGTGGGACCCCGTGGGGTGGGGGGGGGGGGCGCACGACGGCCCAGACTCTCGCGGATCCAAATTCGAAAAAACATCGCCCCGCCAATGGCTCGCGTGGGATTAGAGGGTAGCAGCGGCGACAGCGGCAGCAGCAGCAGCACCGCTCCCCCGTGTGCTGCAAAGAAAACCCGGGAGGGACCCTCCTTGTAAGAGAGCCTTTGAGACCCGGCGAGTCCTCACCCGGGGATAGACAAAGTGAGATCGTTAACAACGAGTTGACAATGATAACGGCGATGGACAAATCATGATGATTATACGCTCTTATAAATGATCATAATGTCTTCGCCCAAGCGCGCCCGCGCAGACAGTGACAGAGGGCAAAGGCGCAGCCCTGCAATATCGTCGCCTCCCCCCACCCCCGCGCGCGCGCGACTTGCGGTGAACGTAGCGGCCTCTGATGGCCGGAGAGGGTCCAAGTGAACCGAATTTGACGTAGGGGCGCGTAGGAACAGAGAGACGCGTAGACGTGCTGGCACGCACACACACGCACGTGTGCGCGTGTGTGTGTGTGCGTGTGAGTCGAAGTTGGGGATCGATGTCAATCAATGCATCTGTAATCTCGCGCCCGTTTGTTTCCCAACGTGGGCTTTCTCTATGGGTTGATCAATCCACTGCTGGATGAAGGCCTGTCCCTACGCCGCGTTGGTCACCGGGCGGGCGGGCGGGGGGGGGTGTTTGTTTGACCATACTTCACCACGCCGGTGCAGTGCGGGTCGGTGGAGGGTGCGGCGAGGGAGGGAGGGAGGTGATGCCCGGGACCGGTTCGGACATCACTCGCCACCGATGTTCGCGAGCCGCGAGCCGGACGCTAGCCGGTGTCCGGGGCGGTGCCGCTTACCGCCGGCGTGTGCCGCGTGACCTCCGATTAGCACGGTCGGCTGCGTCCGGCGTGCGAAAGAAGCCCAGCGTACGTACGTACGTCGCCCGCGGTGTTGTCCATCACTTCCCCCGGGGGCGGCTGTGGCTGGGGGGGGGCGGGGGGGGTCCCCGTCGGCTTCGTTCGCAGGCGGGACGGCAAAAGGTCCCCCGCCGCCGCCGCCACCGAACTTGACCGAGAGATTCCGGGACACCGGCACCGGCACGGGCAGCTGGCTCACTTCGTACCGGGGGGGGGGGGGGGGGGGTGGGGGGGGAGCGGCGGTGCGGGGACACTTGCGGTAATGGCGAGGCGGTTCCGCTGGCTAGCGATCGTTCCGGTGTTAAGTTATTCGTTTTGGGTTCGCACGCGGGAATTTTTGTTGTTGTTAAGACGACGGTCGTCGGTTCAGGGTGGCCCGCGGAGGTGTCGGTGACTTTTGGTTCGCGGGAGGGGGCTGGGTGGGTGGGTGGGGAGGTGGGGGGATCGGAGGGCGGCGGGGTCGGACGAGGGTTGTGTCCTTCACACGTTCAGAGAGCGCGAGCGCGCACAAACCGCCACACGGCTCGGTCGATATAAAATTGTTTGACAACACGCCTGCGTGCCTGCCTGCGTGCGGATGTACCGGTGAATGAGGTGGACGTCAACACCGACCCCCTTACCTCCTCCCTCCTTGCCCCTCCCCCCCCCGTCCGGCAGCCACGGCCCACCGAAGCGAGCTGCGTCCCCGGCACGCGGCGGCGACGTCATCGCCGCCGCCTGCACGCGGCGGTGACGTCACACATGACGATGACGCGGTCGCCGCCGCGTGACGCTGGCAGCGTTCTACAACCACGTGGCGAGTCGCCCCGTGGTTCACGGCGCCGTGGGGTGGGCGCGTTCACCGAGAGGCGGATGCCGAAGCGACGCGGTTTACAGGGGGTGGCGGCAGTAGGTGGCGGTGGTGGAGGAGGAGGAGGACGCGGAGGCTGAGAGGCGACGTGAAACGAGAGAGGACGTGCGGCAGAAACGACGTCGAGAGTGTGTGGGGGTCGAGGCGACGCAAATTGGGTGGCGGTGCGATGAACGAAGCGACGGCCAAACAGTGAGCGCTGGCGGGGGGGGGGGGGGGAGATACGTGAATGGGGGGCTATCGCCGTACTGCCGTACCGCGTCGTGCGTGCGAGAGTCCCGGTTTATCTCCCCCCCCGCCCCCGCCTCCCCGCTTGTGTACGAATTACCAATTGTTGTGATCCCGTTCCGTTTTTCAAAGTTACAACTCTCGAGTTGAGCCACTCGGTCCACGCGACGGATCCGTGGTCAAGTTCTCGCCTCCACACCCCCCCCCCCTCCCGTGGACTACGGGGGGACCGCTCGCCCGCCTGCCAATAAAGACCTTCAAGCTCCGTTTCGCCTTTGGCTCACCGTCATTCCGGAGCGGGGCGGACGTTGTGCCAGGCGTGCCATGGCCATCTTCCCGGTGTCCGCTGACCGTAAGAGAGGATCGCTGGACGTGGTGGTCTTCAAGCAAAGTGTCCCTTTGATCGATAATCGCCAATGCTTCGTCAATATGGAATGTAATCCTCCGATAACCCTCCCTCCGACTCTCCCTCCAGCTCTCCCTCCAGCCGTCCCTTCCTCCATCCCTCCCTCTTCCTCCATCTCTTCATCCCTCCCTCCCTCTTCCTCCATCCTTCCGTCTTCATCCATGATGGGCAGGGCCGCGTACGGGGAGGTAAATCGTGGGTCATGACCCCCCCCCCCCGGCGGTCACGTGATTAATCGACGAGAATCGTTAAGAATCGACTTTTGATCGGACAGTCACTGCCACCGTACACACGTAACAAAGACAAAGATCCCCCGTGTAGCCTGAACAGACTGTTGGAGCAAGTGCTGTTCGCGAGCAGCACATACGAAGGCCGGCACGCGAGGGTGATGGGGTGGGTGGCCAGCAGCACCACGCCCGGCCGCCTTTTTCTCCCCATTGTGCGATGTTTACACACCGCACCAGTTACTCATGAGGCTGAGTCGACCTAGGGGAGGCCCAGGTACCGGTTCAGATAGTCGTCACCACTGGTGTTGGCCGTGAGCGGGAATCGAACTTGGGTCGCCAGGTTCGTAGCGCAGCGCAGCGCTAACCGCTGCACCACCGCTCCCCACACACACACCTACACACACAGAGGTGATGGCATCTAAACCACGCAAAGAAGGAATCCATCCACCTTGGGGTCAGCGGTCGGTAACCAATTTTTTTTATTCGTAAAAAAAGGTCATTTCCAGAGCCGCCAATGCACACTATTTGGTTCTTTCGGTAAAGTCACGTAGGTAGAAAATGTATAGATCACGACATTTCGATCACAACACAAGCAATCGTCATCAGGTGGGACAACCACAGCAAGAAAAACACTGCTGAAGTAGGCGTGAGGTCTGCCCTGGCACGAGGTTATAGAGGCCTCGGAGGTAGGGGGGGGGAGAGAGAGGTGAGGGGGGGGGTGAGGGGGCAGGGCAGAAAGTGGGGGGCACAAACAAACACAAGATCCAGGTTCGTTTCAACACGGTACACAAAATCCGTGATTTGACCCCATCTGTAAAGGATGTGGTTCCTGATATGCAATACCTTGGTGTTTACAAACTGAGTTGTGGTTGCGGCAGCAGTTGCATTGGGGAAACGAAACGACATGTCTCGGACCGCGTCCGCGAACACAAGGCAGATCTGAAACACGACAGGACCAATAATATTCTTAGCTCTTTCGGTAAAGTCACGTTGAAGGGAAAACAATAAAATATATAAAACAATAAAAATTCTCACGACGTTTCGACCATAACACAAACGGTCGTCATCAGGTGTGTCGGTTTGCCTTAATGAATTTATTTTTAAACGGTGTATTTATAAAAAACGTCAGCACCACGCGCAGCGATTTGGCAGTTTATTTAGAAGGACTAGTCCATCTATGTTCTGAAAAGAGGAGGGGGGAGACGAAAAATTAATGTATGTTGTCTGAAAGCCACTGTAAGCGTGAACAATCAATTAAGACCTGAAATGGTTAATCAAATCTTTCCAATGATTGCTAAGCCAGAAGCCATCTTCTCGGTTGAAATTGTCTCTGTGCTTGTATATGTGGATAGCCTCATGAACGAATCTCTCATGGTAGCCAGATGCCTTACAAAGAACCTCTGTCTTGGAAAAGTCAATGTCATGTGAGCCTACTGAATTATAACAATGATCTGCCACGGCCGAGGTGTTGGTACTACCGTGTTTAAGGTCTGCTTTGTGTTCACGAATGCGGTCCGAGACATGGCGTTTGGTTTCTCCAATGTAACTACTACCACAGAGGCAACTTAGTTTGTAGACACCAGGGTACTGTATGTCCGGAATCACATCTTTTACAGACGGAACCAGATCACGGATTTTATGTAATGTGTTGAAACGGACCTGGATCTTGTTTTTATTCAAGATTTTGGAGATCTTTTTTGTGATCCCCGCAATGTAGGCTAAAGTGATGGTTTTGAAAGGCTCCTCAAGAGGGTCTTTCTTCATGGTTTGAGTGATAGCTTTGCGGATTGTATAGTCGGAGTAACTATTAGCCTTAAGAGCTTGGTGTACGTGCTTGAGTTCACTGCCTATCTGTTCCTGGTCGGATATACATTGGGCTCTATGGTACAGAGTCTTGATGAGAGAATTATTCTGTGATGGATGGTGGTGGGAATCCGGTTTCAGATAAGCATCCGTATGGGTAATAATACCTCTGCCGTTGCTGATCATTCTTTTAGCGCAGTGGGCACACGCCTGAAATTGCCATTTCCAAGACGAAGGTACTCTGAAAACCCACCGGCTATCATCAGAGATTTGTTCATGAAGCCATCCAGATATATAAAGACAACTTCAACCGAGATTATGGGTACAAACTGAGCAATCATTGGAAGGACGTAATTAACCAAGTCTTAATTGACTGTGACGGTTCCATCCTACCTGCCTATGTCAGCTGTTAGTTCCGACTCCCTGTGTCTCTGCAGGGTCCCACTCTCTGCCCCGCCCCCTCTCTGCCCCGCCCCCTCTTCCCCCCTCCCCCCAGTGACTCGGGTGCTGCTGCAGGGGTCTCACTCTCTGCCCCGCCCCCTCTCTGCCCCGCCCCCTCTCTGCCCCGCCCCCTCTCTGCCCCGCCCCCTCCCCCCTACCGCCGAGGCCTACTATATAACCTCGTGCCACGGCAGCTCTCTCGCCTACTTCAGCAGTTTGTTTCTTGCTGTGGTTGTCCCACCTGATGACGATTGCTTGTGTTGCGATCGAAACGTCGCGATTTATTTTATTTTTCTACCCACGTGACTTTTACCGAAAGAACCGAAGAGTGTGGATTCCTGCAGTCACGAAAGCTTCAAATCAAGATTGAACCGCCAATGCATGTGTATAAAGTCACTGAGCAGTCCTTGTACTAAACTCTTTTTTTACTTTACCAAGTAAGGCCCCCTGGAGCTGTGTCGCTCTTCTTCAGGAGCGACCTGGCCATCACAAATGACAGCTCAACGAAGTGGCTTATCATCATCATCATCGTGTGGAACTACAGCAGCGGCCACATACTCTAAAAGGCACCTTGATTCTGGATGTGGAGGGAAAAACCGGAGGATCCGGAGGAAAAATCCACGCGACCACGGTGAGAGAGGAAGAGAGACACACAAACTCCAAAAATACAGCAGCAGGCGTCAGGGTCGGGATCGAACCCATGATCTCCTGTTCACCAGGCGAGGTAGTTAACATCTCCTAGCCACCGTGATGATGATGAGAGAGAGAGAGACACGCAAACTCCAAATATACAGCAGCAGGCGTCAGGGTTCGGGATCGAACCCACAAACCTCCTGCACACCAGGCCAGGTAGTTAACATCTCCTGGCCACTGCAGCGACCTTAAGAGAGCCGCACCTTCGATTAGCGAGGCTGGCTACGTGCGGTGCGAAAGAAGTTCAACAGCGTACGGACACACACACACACACGCCCGCGCGCGTGGATCCGGAGCCGCAGTTTTGCCAATCCCTGCCGCGGGAAGAGATGGAGCGAGAGGGGTGTCGGCCCGCTCGCAAACCACCCATTCCAGCAGTGGATTGATCATGGCTGACGACGACGATGACGTCGGCCATCACGCTACGGATTTACGTCCTTCTCATCTCCTCCAGCAAGGCCCAGATCTTCTCGCTCACGGCCACCTGGCGGTGGAGAGGGGAGTGGAGAGGGGGGTGGAGAGAGGGTGGAGAGGGGGGCAGTGGATGAATGAACGTTGCCGGACGCGAGGTGGGAGGGGGGTCCTCGCACGCAGGAGGGGGCCGTGGGGGGGGGGGTTGGAGGGGTTGAGGTGATTGAGGAGGGAGTTTGGGGGGGGGGTAGTTGGGAGGGGGGTGTTGGGGGGGACTGGGGGTGATTAAGGTTATTATAGGCACTTCTGTTTCGTAGGCCTTCTGTGATTGCTTTCGACAGATGGTGCCGCTGCTGCTGCTGCTGCCCGCGTTACTACCGCTGCCGTCAATCCGCTTGTCGCGACTGACACGTTTGTTACTTAGCCTGTGCCCTCATTCGATGGGAGCGCGCTGTGTGCCGCAGATAAGCAGATTTAATTTGAAATTATTGAGAAATAAAAAACAAATATTAGAAGCGAAAGCTGTCTTCAGCAATGTGTCACTCCGACTACTTAAATCGGAGGTAGCCAACTTTCGGCCTATGGGGCTAGACACGGGCCGTGAATGCGTTGCTCCAAGCCCATGACTTCCTTCCACGTGGCCCGTGACATCATTCCGGACTATCATGTCGGATGACGTTCACGTTCATCGATATCGCATTCAATGTTCTGAAAGGACGACGGCATGGCGAGCGCCATATTGCTTTGCCTTCGTTTAAGCGCAAAAAATCATCATACAAACAAACAAACGAACAAAAACCTGAATAATAAAGGTTTTTTGGGTTAGATCGCGTTATTTACAAATGTGTCGCAACCCTCCACCACCCGACACGGCCAATCGGTAAAAAAGTGTCGCGTTGACAAAAGACAAAATAGTTCACTAATTTAGCCCACTGGTGTGTTGACGAGTGAATCCACAACATGTACAATTTTTGAGTACGACGTTTCGCTGGTTAATTACATCCAGCATCATCGGGCGATTTGCCAGAATAGTGAAGCCCTCCACCTGGGTTAAATGATGACGTCAACCTGCTGCTCTCTTGGCCGTGTCGGGTGGTGGAGGGATGCGACACATTTCTAAATAACGCGATCTAACCAAAAAACATTTATTATGAATAATATTGGTCGCGAAAGTCTACGTGTTCAACTCAACAAAAACCTGATCACATTTTTTCGTAGGACCTTTAGTTCTCGTAGGCCAGCCACTCACACACCCAGCCACTTAATCACTCCTCCACCCAGCCAGCCACTCACCCACCTGGCCAGCCACTCACACACCCAGCCACTCACTCACTCAACCACCCAGCCACTCACCCACCTGGCCAGCCACTCACACACCCAGCCACTCACTCCTCCACCCAGCCAGCCACTCACCCACCTGGCCAGCCACTCACACACCTGGCCAGCCACTCACACACCCAGCCACTCACTCACTCAACCACCCAGTCACTCACCCACCTGGCCAGCCACTCACATACCCAGCCACTCACTCATCCACCTGGCCAGCCATTCACACACCCAACCACTCACTCATCCACCCAGCCACTCACACACCTGGCCAGCCACTCACTCACTCAACCACCCAGCCACTCACCCACCTGGCCAGCCACTCACACACCCAGCCACTCACTCACTCAACCACCCAGCCACTCAACCACCTGGACAGCCATTCACACACCTAGCCACTCACTCACTCATCCACCCAACGAGCCACTCACCTACCTGGCCGGCCAGCCATTCACACACCCAGCCACTTACTCACCCAGGCAGCCACTCACCCACCTGGCCAGCCATTCACACACCCAGCCACCTCACTCACTCAACCACCCAGCCACTCACTCAACCACCCAGCCAGCCACTCACCCACCTGGCCAGCCATTCACCCACCTGGCCAGCCATTCACCCACCTGGCCAGCCATTCACACACCCAGCCACTCACTCATCCACCCAGCCAGCCACTTACCCACCTGGCCAGCCACTCACACACCCATCCACAAACTCGCTCAACCACCCAGCCACTCACCCACCTGGCCAGCCACTCACACACCCATCCACAAACTCGCTCAACCACCCAGCCACTCACCCACCTGGCCAGCCACTCACACACCCATCCACAAACTCGCTCAACCACCCAGCCACTCACCCACCTGGCCAGCCACTCACTGCCCCACTCACCCAGCCTCTCACACACTCAGCCCCTCAGAGACAAAGATCCCCCCCGTATCGCCTCTCCCAGCAGGCTCTCGCAAAGACGAGGATAGCCTCCCTCAACTCCAGGCGCGCTGTTCATCCACTCCGACCCGTTACATCGATGCCGGCGCTGCTTGTCGCTGGCCGCCGCGTACCGGGTACGGCGTCGGGGCCTCCAGGTCCTTGTGCTCAGCTCCCAGCTCCCCCAACGAGGCCGCGGACATCGCCCTGAGCTCCTTCAGTGGAAGTAACGGAGAGCAAACCTGGGGGAACATTTGTTAAGGTCGCGCGGGCGCGCTCATTACACGCTACACACACAAAGTGCTCGCCACGAATTAACCACAATGGCCCCTCTGACCTCGTCGCGTGACGATGGTTCATAAGTGCAAACCATCGTCACGCCGGGTTTTCCGCTGGCTGTCGAACAAAGACGCTCGCTGCGTCGCGCGCTTAGCAGATGCGTCCTCTGCGGCCTTCTGGAATGTTCCTTGCGACAATAGCAAGTGGCTGGAGCTAAGCACTTTGTACATCAACTCTATTGATAACGCGACGACTCACGAGAGAGACTCGCATGGACACCGCAACAACTCACAACGGAGTACTCGCACGGAGACCCCCCAGCTCACAATGCCGCAGCGCCTCGTAACCCCCCCCCCCCCCCCCTCCCGAGCCCCCATTACTCACCCGGCCCCGGTCCCAGAACGTCGTGTGCAGCGGGGCGACGCGCGACGGCCGCACCAGCGACTGCTCCCCGAGCGGTCTCAGGAGGCGGCAGGGCAGCAGCTGCCCCGCGCGGGGCGCCAGCTCCTCCACCCCCAGCAGCACGTCCAGCACCGCACGGCCTAGGGGGGGGCAAGGGGCCGGGGGAGCGATGGGGTAGGGATGGGGTAGGGGTAGGGATGGGGGTAGGGATGGGGTAGGGGTAGGAATGGGGTAGGGGTAGGGATGGGGGTAGGGGTAGGTATGGGGGTAGGGATGGGGTAGGGATGGGGTAGGGATGGGGTAGGGGTAGGGATGGGGGTAGGGATGGGGTAGGGGTAGGACTGGGGTAGGGGTAGGGATGGGGGTAGGGGTAGGTATGGGGGTAGGGATGGGGTAGGGATGGGGTAGGGATGGGGTAGGGGTAGGGATGGGGGTAGGGATAGGGTAGGGGTAGGGATGGGGTAGGGATGGGGGTAGGGGAAGTTAGCATCATTCTCGTGAAGAAAATGGTGATGATGACAACTCGTAACTGCACCACCACCGCACAGAATTCTCTCCTCGCTGTCGTACAGAGGGACCAGATGTAGTGTGCGGGTGTAGGGTGCGGGTGTAGGGTGTGGGTGCAGGGTGCGGGTATAGGGTGCGGGTGCAGGGTGTAGGGTGCGGGTGTAGGGTGCGGGTGTAGGGTGTGGGTGTAGGGCGCGGGTGTAGAGTCCGGGTGTAGGGTGCTGGTGTATGGTGCGGGTGTAGGGTGCGGGTGTAAGGTGCGGGTGTAGGGTGCGGGTGTAAGGTACGGGTGTAGGGTGCGGGTGTAGGGCGCGGGTGTAGAGTCCGGGTGTAGGGTGCTGGTGTATGGTGCGGGTGTAGGGTGCGGGTGTAAGGTACGGGTGTAGGGTGCGGGTGCAAGGTGCGGGTGTAGGGTGTAGAGTCTGGGTGTAGGCTGCGGGTGTAGGGTGCAGGTGTAGGGTGCGGGTGTATGGTGCGGGTGTAGGCACCGTCGTCCCCGTACAGCCGGTACGGAGCCTTGCGTCCCGGCAGCGTCGTCTTCTCCTCATCCTCAGTCAGTTTGCACCGCGGCACCCCGTCCAGCTCCACCAGCTCACCAGCGGCACAAAGACAAAGGTCCCCCGTGTAGCCTTAACAGACTGTAGGGGCAAGTGCTGTTAGCGAGCAGCACCTATGAAGGCCGGCACGACACACGAGGGGGTGGGTGGCCAGCACCACGCCCGGCCGCCTTTGTCTCTCCAGTGGCGATGTTTACACACCGCACCGGGTACTCATTTGAGGGCTGAGTCGACCAAGAGGAGGCCCGGGACCGGTTCAGATAATCGTCACTGGCGTTGGCCGTGAGCGGGAATCGAACTCGGGTCGCCGGCTTCGTAGCGCGGTGCGCTAACCGCTACACCACCGCTCCCCTCCAACACTCTCACACTCACAATCACTGAAACGCATTCTGCAGGACAGAGGGACTTGAACCCAGAGGGTTCTTACTGTGAGGCATGGCGAGTGCCACCACCACTGCACCACCACCACCCTGCCACCACCACCACCCTGCCACCACTGCACCACCACCACTCTGCCACCACTGCACCACCACCACCCTGCCACTACTGCACCACCACCACCCTGCCACCACTGCACCACCACCACCACCACCCTGCCACAACTATCACCACCACCACCCTGCCACCACTGCACCACCACTGCACCACCACCACTCTGCCACCACTGCACCACCACCACCCTGCCACCACTGCACCACCACCACTCTGCCACCACTGCACCACCACCACCCTACCACCACCACCACCCTGCCACCACTGCACCACCACCACCACCCTGCCACCACTATCACCACCACCACCACCCTGCCACCACTGCACCACCACCACCACCACCCTGCCACCACTGCAGAGAGATTGGCCAGGGGGGTGAGGGGAGCGAGGATGGCGATGAGGGCGAGGGTGGAGAGGGTGGCGAGGGTGGCTAGGGTGGCGGGGGTAGAGAGAGTGGCGAGGGTGGCGAGGGTGGCGAGGGTGGCGGGGGTGGCGGGGGTGGAGAGGGTGGCGAGGGTGGCGAGGGTGGCGAGGGTGTAGAGGGTGGCGAGGGTGGCGAGGGTACCTTGTAAATGCACCCGAGGGACGGCTGCCTCTCACAGGTCACCAGTGCGGTGCCCACGCCGAAGCAGTCGATGGCGTGGCCCTGCCCACACGTCACACACACACGTCACACACATGTCACACACACACGTCACACACACACGTCTCACACACACACACACACGGGGTCCGCCGTTCACTGCAGCCGCATCTCAATATCCGGTGGCCGTTGCCACAGCAGATGCGGTCCACCACCATCACCTTCACCGTCATCATCATCGTCATCGATGGGACATGACGAGCGGTCGCCACTGTGGCTGCTGCTGTCACCAGAGCGACACCGTGGGGTCACGTGATCCCACGTGATCCCACGTCGCCCTCCGCGCCGTCCATTCACAGATTCGCGGGTCACGTGATCCCACGCCGCCCCCGGGTCACGTGGGTCTCTACGTCAGCCATTAGGTGGTCCACACACAGAAGGGCAGCACTTGTTGCCCTGCCGCAGGAGGGGAATGTTCTTGTTGCGTGCCGACGCGGTGATTCTCAGAGTTCGGATTCGGCCACACGAAACGCGATGCGATGGCGTTGCTGTGCACGTACGTACGGCGCGCAAAAAAGAGTTGAACATACATAGGTACGTAATACAAGTCGTTTTTGTTGGGTTGGGTCGCGTAAATATATCACTGCATCGTGAAAGCCGCCACCACCCGACACAGCCAACTAGGAAGGGTTGTGTCACGTGAACAGAACGTGGACAATTCGTCACCAGTACAGCACTAGTGTGTAGTGTAGTGTATAGTAGTTTAGTGTATAGTGTAGTGTATAGTGTAGTGTATACTGTAGTGTATAGTGTAGTGTATAGTAGTGTAAAGTGTAGTGTATAGTGTAGTGTATAGTAGTATAGTGTGTAGTGTATAGTAGTGTAGTGTATAGTAGTGTATAGTGTAGTGTATAGTGTAGTGTATAGTGTAGTGTATACTGTAGTGTATAGTGTAGTGTATAGTAGTGTAGTGTATAGTGTAGTGTATAGTGTAGTGTATAGTAGTGTAGTGTATAGTGTAGTGTATAGTAGTGTAGTGTGTAGTGTATAGTAGTGTATAGTGTAGTGTATACTGTAGTGTATAGTGTAGTGTATAGTAGTGTATAGTGTAGTGTATAGTGTAGTGTATAGTGTAGTGTATACTGTAGTGTATAGTGCAGTGTATAGTGCACTGTATAGTGTAGTGTATAGTGTAGTGTATAGTGTAGTGTATAGTATAGTGTATAGTAGTGTATAGTGTAGTGTATAGTGTAGTGTATAGTGTAATAGTGTAGTGTATAGTGTAGTATATAGTGTATAGTGTACTAGTACAGCACACCGGTGTGTTGGAGAGCCAAGCCACAACATTTACAATCTGAGTAACGACGTTTCGCCAGTAATTACAACCAGCTTCATCAGACGACAGCCAGATTTGTAAATCTTGTGACTCGGCTCTCCAACACGAACCAGTGCTTGCTGTACTGGTGACGCTTTGGCACGTTCTGTTTACGTGACTAACCCCACTAGTTGGCTGCGTCGGGTGGTGGCGGGTTTAACGACACATTTATATATTTACGCGATCTAACCCAAAAACGACCCTGTGTACTATGGATGACACTGGTCGCGAGAGACTCCTACGCAGCGTGATCCCAGCCCGGGCCTAACGCGAGGCTACGGCGAACTCGGCCGAGTCCGGCGAAACTGGCGACACCGGGAAGCACGCCGTGACGGCAGGCTGTGACCGTAACCCGGAGCAGAACGCCGGGGGTGGCTTTGCGTGCCGGGCCGGTGGGCCGCCCGGCCCCCCCACCTAGGGCTGAACGATTTGGGGAAAATATCAAATTGGGATTTTTTTTCTGACATTTTTTTAAAGTCAAGTTTCAGTTCAATTTTCACTGTGCGATAGATTTAAAAGACGTGATGGCGCATTACTACCACACGATACCATCAACACATGAACTGCTCTATATATTCTAATGCTAGGATGGGAACTTAAAAATATATTAATTGCTTCCAAAATGTTTTAATTGAAATAGAACAATCAAACATAGAGCAATTGTTAAGTTAAATAAGTAAAGTTACAACAATAAAATAATAAAACAATCTCCAATAAGAAAGTCATAGGACTTTTGAAATCGTAAAAAAATAATCTCGGCCTTTGCGACTTGCTAATCGCATCGTTTCAAATAGCGATTTCGATTTGAAATCGATTAACTGTGCAGCCCCCCCCCGCCCCCACCTGCTTGTTGTAGGCGAGGATCTTCTCTTCGTTGACGTCGTTGCTCGCGACGATCTTCAACTCCGAGAACCACGGCAGCTCAAAGCTGCCACGGGGGAGGGAGACGATCGGGCAATAGGGACAACCGTAACGACGACGATGATAACGGCGATAACGACGACGATCTTAACGACAACAGCCATAACGACGACGACGATAACGACGACAACCATAACGACGACGATGATGACGACAACGACTATAGCGGTAACGGTAACGACGACGATAACGACGACGATCTTAACGACAACAACCATAACGACGACGATGATAACGACGACGACGATAGCGGTAACGACGACGATAACGACGATGATCTTAACGACAACAACCACAACGACGACGATGATAACGACGACGATGATAATAACAACCACAACGACGACGATGATAACGACAACGACCATAACGACGACGATGATGACGACGATAGCAGTAATGGTAACGACGATGATAACGACGATAATGATAACGACGACAACAACGATAACGACGATGATGATAACGACGACGAGAACGACAGTGACAACAATAATAACAACAATAACAATAACAACAACAACGATAACAACAACAATGTCGACTCGTAACTCTGTGGCACCACCGCCACCGCCGCACGGTATCCGCTCATCGCTCTCGTAGAGAGACGCAGAGGCTCCAGGAGGAGGACCCCCACACACACGCACACACACATGCACACACACACACGTGTCTCTGTTGTACGTAGCCAACCGCGCTGATCAGAGGTGCAGTGTTGAGTCTATGGGTAGCGTTGAGTCTATGGGCAGTGTTGAGTCTATGGGCAGTGTTGAGTCTATGGGTAGTGTTGAGTCTATGGGCAGTGTTGAGTCTATGGGTAGTGTTGAGTTTATGGGTAGTGTTGAGTCTATGGGCAGTGTTGAGTCTATGGGTAGTGTTGAGTCTATGGGTAGTGTTGAGTCTATGGGCAGTGTTGAGTCTATGGGCAGTGTTGAGTCTATGGTGCAGTGTTGAGTCTATGGTGCAGTGTTGAGTCTATGGGCAGAGTTGAGTCTATGGTGCAGTGTTGAGTCTATGGGCAGTGTTGAGTCTATGGGCAGTGTTGAGTCTATGGTGCAGTGTTGAGTCTATGGGCAGTGTTGAGTCTATGGGTAGTGTTGAGTCTATGGGCAGTGTTGAGTCTATGGGCAGTGTTGAGTCTATGGGCAGTGTTGAGTCTATGGGCAGTGTTGAGTCTATGGGCAGTGTTGAGTCTATGGGCAGAGTTGAGTCTATGGTGCAGTGTTGAGTCTATGGGTAGTGTTGAGTCTATGGGCAGTGTTGAGTCTATGGTGCAGTGTTGAGTCTATGGGCAGTGTTGAGTCTATGGGTAGTGTTGAGTCTATGGGCAGTGTTGAGTCTATGGGCAGTGTTGAGTCTATGGGCAGAGTTGAGTCTATGGTGCAGTGTTGAGTCTATGGGCAGTGTTGAGTCTATGGGCAGTGTTGAGTCTATGGTGCAGTGTTGAGTCTATGGGCAGTGTTGAGTCTATGGGCAGTGTTGAGTCTATGGTGCAGTGTTGAGTCTATGGGCAGTGTTGAGTCTATGGGCAGTGTTGAGTCTATGGGTAGTGTTGAGTCTATTGGCAATGTTGAGTCTATGGGCAGTGTTGCGTCTATGGGTAGCGTTGAGTCTATGGGCAGTGTTAGTCTATAGGCAGTGTTGAGTCTATGGGCAGTGTTGAGTCTATGGTGCAGTGTTGAGTCTATGGGCAGTGTTGAGTCTATGGGTAGTGTTAGTATATGGGCAGTGTTGAGTCTATGGGCAGCGTATTTATGCGGTGACCACCGTTTTTGCTCGATGGTTAGCCAGACGCGGAGCGGGAAGGCAGCGGCAGCAGCCACGCAGTGAACAGACGGCACCACCAACAATTGCCCAAGTTCTACGATCCTTTATGTTCGAAGGTCTCAATGGCTTATCAATGATGAGCGGTTTACACGTGTGGGAGGAAACCGGAGCGCCCGGAGAGAACCCACGACATGCGAGCGAGGGGGAAACACTCGATCTCATGCGGACGGAACAGGTGGAGTCCTCATTACTCTTTGGTTCTATTGGGTAAAGTCACGTAGGTGAAAATAAAATAACAAAAAAAATTAACAAAAAATCACGACGTTTCGGCCACAACACAAGCGGCCTTCATCAGGTGAAGGGACGAGACTGTTGTCTGGAGGACAGCGCTGGAGTGGAAGAAGCCACGCTCAGATCACGACCTTTAAGCTGTGTGAGAAGAAAAACACCAAGCGCCTTGATGCCGCGATCACACGCAGCACGTGACGGCGTCACACGCCGTCACGTGCTGCGTGACGGCATCACACGCCGTCACGCAGCACGTGACGGCGTCACACGCCATCACGTGCTGCGTGACGGCATCACACGCTGTCACGCAGTACGTGACGGCATCACACGCTGTCACGCAGCACGTGACGGCATCACACGCCGTCACGCAGCACGTGACGGCATCACACGCTGTCACGCAGTACGTGACGGCATCACACGCTGTCACGCAGCACGTGACGGCATCACACGCCGTCACGCAGCACGTGACGGCGTCGTCCTGGGCCCCTCGCAGCGGCGCCGCCTCACCTCTGGGCGCAGCAGCGGAAGGCCGCCCGCACCTCCAGCGATTGTCGCGCGAGGTCCCCGCTGTCGAGCCTCACGCCCACGGCCCGCAGCCCCAGCGTCGCCAGCGCCAGCGCCACGGCGCAGAAGTTCACCGTGCCGCTGCTGTGACGCGCGCACACAAAGACAAAGTTCCCCCCCCCGTGTAGCCTCGGCGGACCGTAGGGGCGAGCGCTGTTGGCGAACAGCGGCAGCGGCGGCAGCGGCGGCAGCAGCGGCGGCAGCGGCAGCAGCGGCTACGAAGGCCGGCACTGCGGCACACGAGCGGGCGGCCAGCAGCACCGCGCCCGGGCCGCCGCTCGTCCCCCCGGTGGCGATGTTTCCCACGCACCGCAAACCAGGTGCTCGTTTGGGGCCGAGTCGATCTAGGCGTGGGGAGGTAGGTAGGTAGGTAGGAGGACCCGTGAGCCGGTTCTCCACGACCGTCGCCGGCGTCGGGTATCGAAACCCGGGTGGCGCCGGCGTTTCGTGTGGTGTGACGGGCGTGCGGCGGCGCTACCCGTGCACGCTGTAGGTGTCGACCAGCAGCAGCAGCCTGCGCGGGAAGGCCTGGGCGTACGAGACGAACGCGGCGAGCTCCCCGTCGCGGGCGTCGCGCTCGGCGCGGCCCAGCAACGAGCAGACGCGCGGACGCCACTCCAGGGACAGCGCCACCAGGTCCACCGTCGGCCCCCCGTCCGGCACAGCCAGCTCCTGGGAGAGGCGGGGAGCAAAGGGGAGACGGCGGTGGGGGGGGGGGCAGGCGGGGAGTGGCCGTGACGGCGTCGACCAAGGCAGTGCCGACGATGACGTTGGCGGCGACGTGCGGCGACGTGGTTACCCGGGTGGTGAGGTCGTGGAGGCCGCTGAAGGCCGTGATGTAGGAGTGAGCCTGCGTCCCCGCGAGCGGCACGCCGTGGACCTGGGCCGCCAGGACGTTGCTCGTCGCGTCGAACCCTTGCGCACGCGGACACCAGGAACTTCTTCCGCGCCGTGCGTCGACGAGCGTGCTAACCGGAGGTGCGCGGGAAGGACAACTTACTAAAAACTACGTAACCTGCGGGCAGCCACGTGCAGCAGCGAAGCCGCTAGGAAATGGCCTTGACCCCTACTGCCGCCCACCCAAACCGGCCCCCCACGCCCCCCCGTGTCTCACCTCCCAGGTAGGCGTAGCGCGAGGCAGAGAGGGCCCCATTCGGGCCCTGGGCCCTCCTGAGGCCCAGCTCCATGAGCTCCACGCGGCTGCCGGCGGCCAGGCGGAAGCGTGCCGCGTTCGTGGCCACCAGGCTGCGCAGACGGGGGGCGGGCCACGGTGGCGAGATGTTAACTACCTCGCCTGGTGTGCAGGAGTTCGTGGGTTCGATCCCGACCCTGACGCCCCCTGTATATTTGGAGTTTGCATGTTCACCCCGTGGTGAGATGTTAACTACCTCGCCTGGTATGCAGGAGGTCGTGGGTTCGATCCCGACCCTGACGCCCCCTGTATATTTGGAGTTTGCATGTTCACCCCATGGTGAGATGTTAACTACCTCGCCTGGTATGCAGGAGGTTGTGGGTTCGATCCTGACCCTGACGCCCCCCTGTATATTTGGAGTTTGCATGTTCACCCCGTGGTGAGATGTTAACTACTTCGCCTGGTATGCAGGAGGTCGTGGGTTCGATCCTGACCCTGACGCCTCCTGTATATTTGGAGTTTGCATGTTCACCCTGTGGTGAAATGTTAACTACCTCGCCTGGTGTGCAGGAGGTTGAGGATTCGATCCCGACCCTGACGCCTCCTGTATATTTGGAGTTTGCGTGTCTCCACGTGGTTGTGAATTCCTTTTTTCCCTCCACGTGATGATAAGCCAATTTGTTGAGCTATCATTTGTGGCTAGGTCACTTCTGAAATTAAGCTATGTTGCTCAGTGGGCCTTACCTGGTAAAATAAAAAAAAAATTGTTTAGTTTTAGTTTAGCACTCGGTCAGGATCCCCGTTCGACAAATTACCGTCAGCAACGACGATCAACGGCACTCCCCTCCGGCGGTGCCGCTGTGACCTTGTGACCCAAACCATAAACTACATTTTGTATTATTATTTTACGTTGGTCCATTGATGGAAGTGGAGATCAGAGAGCTACATCCAAGATACCGCCTTCCTCAAGTGACGCTCTGGTCCGCACAGAACGGCTCGTGGAAGTGGGTATCGGAGAGCTACATCTGCCACACCTCCTACTTCAAGCGACGCTCTGGTCTGCACAGAATGGCTCGTAGAAGTGGGATATAACAGAGCTACCGCTGAGATCCCTTCAGCTCCTTCTTCTTCTTCTGCTTCTGCAAGCGACACTCTGGTGCACGTGCGCAGCAGAGGGGGCGGCACTTCCGACGGCCGTCGCGTGACGGTCAAAACCGGTCGTTTGAATTCCCAGCGCGTGCCCGTGAGCCGACGTTTGCCTTGCGAAGTTCACGCCGGCGAGGCGGTTCAAATGGAGAGGGGGGGATCGCCCTGGGGCGCCGGCGCCGGCGGCTGCGGCGGTTACCTGGCGTAGTTGATGAAGTTGAGCAGCGGAGTCTCCAGGAGTTGCAGCAAACACAGGGGGCCGTCCACGCGCAGCAGGGGAACCTGTCAGCCCGACACGCGCGCGCGCACGCACGCGCGTGCATGCAAGTCGGACTTCTTTCGCACCGTACGTAGCCAACCGCGTTCGGCGGGGCGGGGGGTGGGGGGGCGGAGGACGCCGCCGGCGGCGGCCACACCTGCGGAAAGGCGACGGTCCCTTCTTGCAGGGCGTGCAGAACCACATCGGACGCGTCCAGCCCGGACAGGAACGCGTAGAACTCGTCGGATACGTAATCGGGGAGGTGAGCGCGCAGGAAGTCGATGTCTGCGGACAGCGCGCGGGGGACAGAGATAACGGTGCAACATGTTGGCCTGCACTCACCCACACACAGCGCAGTGATAGACTCAACCCACCCAGTCACACACACACAGCGCAGTGATAGACTCAACCCACCCAGTCACCCACACACAGCGCAGTGTTAGACTCAACCCACCCACTCACACTCATCACAGTGTTAGACTCAACCCACCCACTCACCCACAGCGCAGTGTTAGACTCAACCCACCCAGTCACCCACACACAGCACAGTGATAGACTCAACCCACCCACTCACCCATACACAGCGCAGTGATAGACTCAACCCACCCACTCACCCACAGCGCAGTGTTAGACTCAACCCACCCAGTCACCCACACACAGCACAGTGATAGACTCAACCCACCCACTCACCCATACACAGCGCAGTGATAGACTCAACCCACCCACTCACCCACACACAGCGCAGTGATAGACTCAACCCACCCACTCACACACACACACCGCAGTGTTAGACTCAACCCACCCACTCACTCACACACACCACAGTGTTAGACTCAACCCACCCACTCACACACACACAGCGCAGTGTTAGACTCACCTAGGCCTCCCCTAAGTCGACTCAGCCTCAAATGAGCACCCGGTGCGACGTGTAAACATCGCCACTGGGGGAGACAAAGGCGGCCCGGCGTGGTGTTGGTCACCCACCACCTCGTGTGCCGTGCCAGCCTTCATAGGCGCTGCTGCTAGCTAACAGCACTTGCCCCAACAGTCTGTTACAGGCTGCACGGGGGATCTTTGTCTTTGTGTTTAGCAGTGCTACGTTTTTATCGACGTGTGAATGATGAATGCCCCCGTGTCGACGCGTCGTCACTCTCGGACAACTTATTGCCTTCGCTCTTCATTTCTTAAGGTGCGTCACGCAGATGACTCTCGCATCCCACAGGGGCCGTCCATAAATGACGTCATTTTTGACCCCGCCCCCCCTCCCTATCGTCACACGGCGTCACAAAAAGTCAGGACCCCCCCTCAAATATGACGTCACAAAGCTCTGCCCCCCCCCCCCAAAAAAACCATGCTTCAAATCGCTTTAAACTATTGTCATTGTAGTGCGTATTTAATGTGGCGCTGCACTCTGATGTTGTAGGAGAAAACATTTATTAAAAAGTCTATTTAATTAAGTAGAACGTGTTGTCTATATTTATTTAAAGTTGCACATTTTGATGTGTCTGTCTGCGCAGTGTGTCTCTCTGCGTAGTGTCTGTGTAGTGTCTCTGTGCAGTGTGTCTGTGTAGTGTCTCTCTGCATAGTGTCTGTGTTGTGTCTCTGTGTAGCGTGTCTCTCTGCGTAGTGTCTGTGTAGTGTCTCTGTGCAGTGTGCCTGTGTAGTGTCTCTCTGCGTAGTGTCTGTGTTGTGTCTCTGTGCAGTGTGCCTGTGTAGTGTCTCTCTGCATAGTGTCTGTGTAGTGGGTCTCTGTGTAGTGTCTCTCTCTGCATAGTGTCTGTGTAGTGTCTCTGTGTAGCGTGTCTGTGTAGTGTCTCTCTGCATAGTGTCTGTGTAGTGTCTCTGTGCAGTGTGCCTGTGTAGTGTGTCTGTCTGTGTAGCGTGTCTCTCTGTGCAGTGTCTGTGTAGTGTCTCTGTGTAGCGTGTCTGTGTAGTGTGTCTGTCTGTGTAGCGTGTCTCTCTGCGCAGTGTATCTCCCTGCGCAGTGTGTCTGTCTGCGCAGTGTGTCTGTCTGCGCAGTGTCTGTGTAGTGTCTCTGTGCAGTGTGTCTGTGCAGTGTGCCTCTCTGTGCAGTGTGTCCGCGCAGCGTGTCTCTCTGCGCAGCGTGTCTCTCTGCGCAGTGTGTCTGTCTGCGCAGCGTGTCTCTCTGCGTAGTGCCTGTGTAGCGTGTCTCTCTGTGCAGCGTGTCCGCGTAGCGTGTCCGCCCGCACAGTGCGTCTCCCTCCTCACCCTCGGCGTCGATGCGGAAGCCCTGGACGAAGGCCACGCAGTCGGCGAGCCCCGCGCTGAGGGCACCCCCGCCCCCGAAGGGCGCGCGGCGGAACGAGGCCTCGAAGCAGGCCCTGGCGCAGGCCCTGCCGGCCCGCCACAGCGCGTAGGCCATGGTGAACTGGTAGAAGTCCGTGAGGAGGGCACCGGGCATCATGGACCTCCTCGAAGTCGCCATCGGCAGGAGGAGGTGGTGGTGGTGGTGATGATGGATGAGGTGGTGGTGGTGATGGTGGTGGTGGTTGGTGGTGATGATGATGGTGGCTGGTGTAGTGTCTCTCTGTGTAGTGTGGTTGATGATGGTGGTGGTGCTGGTGATGGTTGAGGGAGGTTTTGCAAGGATTTGAGAAGACAAGGTGGAGGAGATATCAACGTGGCGGACGCTGTTGGTGGCACCACCATCTCCACCACCACTCACATCTCCACCACCGCCACCACTCACACCTCCACCACCTCTCACGCCTCCACCGCCTCCACCACCACTCACACCTCCACCACCACCACTCACACCACCACCAATCACACCTCCACCACCACCACTCACACCACCACCTCCAACACCACCACTCACTTCCACCACCACCACTCACACCACCACCACCTCCACCACCTCTCACACCTCCACCACTCACACCACCACCACCAATCACACCTCCACCACCACCACTCACACCACCACCTCCAACACCACCACTCACTTCCACCACCATCACTCACACCACCACCACCTACACCACTCACACCACCACCGCCAACACCACCACTCACTTCCACCACCATCACTCACACCACCACCACCGCTCACACCTCCACCACTTACACCACCACCACTACTCACACCACCACCACCGCTCACACCACCACCACTCACACCACCAACCACAAAATCATCCTATCACCACCGGGTTCTCCGCACTTCACAGAATGCCGCAGCTGCTGCTGCTCAGAAACTGCGTGGCGACCTCCATGCAACAGACAACTCCCTGAAGAGCTCACTCCTCAATCTCATTGCTCTTAGGCCTTCCTTATATAGAGGCCTATAGACTCAAACAGAGACCTATAGACTCGCACAGAGACTCAGAGACCCGCAGACTCACAGAGAGGTCCATAGACTTAGAGAGATGACCATAGACTCACACAGAGATCAGAGACCCACAGACTCACAGAGAGGTCCATAGACTCACACAGAGACTCAAAGACCCACAGACTCACAGAGAGGTCCATAGACTCACAGAGAGACTCAGAGACCCATAGACTCACAGAGAGATCCATAGACTCACACAGAGACTCAGAGACCCACAGACTCACAGAGAGGTCCACAGACTCACAGAGAGACTCAGAGACCCATAGACTCACAGAGAGGTACATAGACTCACACAGAGACTCAGAGACCCACAGACTCACAGAGGGGCTCATAGACTCACACAGAGACTCAGAGACCCATAGATTCACAGATGGGCGCATAAACTCACACAGAGACTCAGAGACCCACAGACTTAGAGAGGCCCATAGACTCACACATATACCTATAGACTCATACAGAGACTCAGGGACCCACAGACTCACAGAGAGGTCCATAGACTTACAGAAATGACCATAGACTCACACAGAGACTCAGAAACCCGCAGACTCAGAGAGCTCCATAGACTCACACAGAGACTCAGAGACCCACAGACTCACAGAGAGGTCCATAGACTCACAGAGAGACTCAGAGACCCATAGACTCACAGAGGGGCCCATAGACTTACACAGAGACTCAGAGACCCGCAGACTCACAGAGAGGTCCATAGACTCACACAGAGACTCAGAGACCCACAGACTCACAGAGAGGTTCATAGACTCACAGAGAGACTCAGAGACCCATAGACTCACAGAGAGATCCATAGACTCACACAGAGACTCAGAGACCCACAGACTCACAGAGAGGTCCATAGACTCACAGAGAGACTCAGAGACCCATAGACTCACAGAGGGGCCCATAGACTCACACAGAGACTCAGAGACCCATAGACTCACAGAGAGGTACATAGACTCACACAGAGACTCAGAGACTCACAGAGGGGCTCATAGACTCACACAGAGACTCAGAGACCCATAGATTCACAGATGGGCTCATAAACTCACACAGAGACTCAGAGACCCACAGACTTAGAGAGGCCCATAGACTCACACATAGACCTATAGACTCATACAGAGACTCAGGGACCCACAGACTCACAGAGAGGCCCATAGACTCACACAGAGACTCAGAGACCCATAGATTCACAGATGGGCTCATAGACTCATACAGAGACTCAGAGACCCATAGACTCACAGAGAGGTCCATAGACTCACACAGAGACTCAGAGACCCATAGACTCACAGAGAGGTCCATAGACTCACAGAGAGACTCAGAGACCCATAGACTCACAGAGAGGTCCATAGACTCACAGAGAGACTCAGAGACCCACAGACTCAGAGAGGCCCATAGACTCACACATAGACCTATAGACTCATACAGAGACTCAGAGATCCATAGACTCACAGAGGGGCCCATAGACTCACACAGAGACTCAGAGACTCACAGAGATGCACATAGACTCACACAGAGACTCATACAAAGACCCACAGACTCACAGAGAGGCACATAGACTCACACAGAGACCCATACGTGCACACAGAGACACAAAAGTGAGGGAAAAAAGTATTTGATCCCCTGCTGATTTTGTACGTTTGCCCACTGACAAATATATGATCAGTCTAATGGTAGGTTTATTTGAACAGAATAACAACAACAAAATCCAGAAAAAAGCATGTCAAAAATGTTATAGATTGATTTGCATTTTAATGAGGGAAATAAGTATTTGACCCCCTCTCGATCAGAAAGATTTCTGGCTCCCAAGTGTCTTTTATACAGGTAACGAGCTGAGATTAGGAGCACAATCTTAAAGGGAGTGCTCCTAATCTCAGCTTGTTACCTGTATAAAAGACACCTGTCCACAGAAGCAATCAATTAGATTCCAAACTCTCCACCATGGCCAAAACCAAAGAGCTCTCCAAGGATGTCAGGGATAAGATTGTAGACCTACACAAGGCTGGAAGGGGCTACAAGATCATTGCCAAGCAGCTTGGTGAGAAGGTGACAACAGTTGGTGCGATTATTCGCAAATGGAAGAAAGACAAAATAACTGTCAATCTCCTTCGGCCTGGGGCTCCATGCAAGATATAACCTCGTGGAGTTGCAATGATCATGAGAACGGTGAGGAATCAGCCCAGAACTACACGGGAGGATCTTGTCAATGATCTCAAGGCAGCTGGGACCATAGTCACCAAGACAACAATTGGTAACACACCACGCCGTGAAGGACTGAAATCCTGCAGCGCCCGCAAGGTCCCCCTGCTCAAGAAAGCACATTTACATGCCCGTCTGAAATTTGCCAATGAACATCTGAATGATTCAGAGGACAACTGGGTGAAAGTGTTGTGGTCAGATGAGACCAAAATGGAGCTCTTTGGCATAAACTCAACTCGCCGTGTTTGGAGGAGGAGGAATGCTGCCTATGACCCCAAGAACACCATCCCCACCGTCAAACATGGAGGTGGAAACATTATGCTTTGGGGGTGTTTTTCTGCTAAGGGGACAGGACAACTTATCCGCATCAAAGGGACGATGGACGGGGTCATGTACCGTCAAATCTTGAGTGAGAACCTCCTTCCCTCAGCCAGGGCATTGAAAATGGGTCGTGGATGGGTATTCCAGCATGACACTGACCCAAAACACACGGCCAAGGCAACAAAGGAGTGAATCAAGAAGAAGCACATTAAGGTCCTGGAGTGGCCTAGCCAGTCTCCAGACCTTAATCCCATAGACAATCTGTGGAGGGAGCTGAAGGTTCGAGTTGCCAAACGTCAGCCTCGAAACCTTAATGAGAAGATCTGCAAAGAGGAGTGGGACAAAATCCCTCCTGAGATGTGTGCAAACCTGATGGCCAACTACAAGAAACGTCTGACCTCTGTGATTGCCAACAAGGGTTTTGCCATCAAGTACTAAGTCATGTTTTGCAGAGGGGTTAAATACTTATTTCCCTCATTAAAATGCAAATCAATTTATAACATTTTTGACACGCGTTTTTCTGGATTTTTTTTGTTGTTATTCTGTCTCTCACTGTTCAAATAAACCTACCATTAAAATTATAGACTGATCATTTCTTTGTCAGTGGGCAAACATACAAAATCAGCAGGGGATCAAATACTTTTTTCCCTCACTGTACACTAAGACTGAGACCCATAGACTCGCACAGAGACCCATAGACTTACATAGACACCCACGCAGATTCACGTATGGACACCACAGGCTCGCATAAAGACCCGGGTGTTACCGTGGGCAAGCCGGTGAGTATAATCTCTGCGTACAACGGTGTGTGTGTGTGTCTCCTCAAAGTGCACCTAGCCTGGCACAAGCGTCGCGGTGCGTCTGTCAGCGTGGGGAGCGGTGGCGCAGCGGTTAGCGCTACGAACCCGGCGACCTGAGTTCGATTCCCCTAGGGCGACTCAGCCTCAAATGAATTCCCCGGTGCGTTGTGTTAGTAAACATCGCCACCGGGGAGACAAAGGCGGTACGGGCGTGGTGCTGGCCATCCCATCCCCCTCGTGTGCCGTGCCGGCCTCGATAGGTGCCACTCGCTAACAGCACTTGCCCCAACGGGGTGTTGAGGCTACACAGTGGGAGGGGGGGGGTCTTTGTCTTTGTATCCGTGTGTACGTGCGCCTCTACATATTCTGCATCTACGCGTGCTATGTTTAGCAATGTTTGAATTCACGCTTGTCTATGTATGGGTCTGTCGATGCGCCGATTGGCGTTCCGCGTTGAGCCTGTACGTCCGTATGGGCACGTGTCCGGTGTCTGATCCTCATCGACCCACTGCTGGATTAAAGCCTTACCACGTGGTTAAAGGGGGTCTAGCCTATTACAGTACGTACTAGACGTCCGTGAACACATCCCATTGTGCGCGTGTGTTTATATATACGACAAAGACAAAGATCCCCCGTATAGCCTTGACAGACTGTAGGGGCAAGTGCTGTTAGCGAGCACCTATAACGGCACACGAGGGGGTGGGTGGCCAGCACCACTCCCGACCGCCTTTGTCTTCCCAGTGACGATGTTTACTACACATCGCACCGGGTACTCATTCGAGGCTGAGTCGACCTAGGGCAGGCCCGGCACTGGTTCAGATAATCGTCACTGGTGGTGTTGGCCGTGAGCGGGAATCGAACCCGGTTTGCCGGGTTCGTAGCGCAGCGCTAACCGCTGCACCACCGCTCCCCCACAACAACAACAACCGCCATTCGCCACTAAGCGGCTGTGACGTCACCACGACGCTTGTGCCAGGCCATGTGCACCTTGAGGCCACGTGCAGTGTCGAACGCCCGCTGGCAGGAGGTCACGGGGCAGACCCAGCAGGTGCCACAGGTCGACTGACTGAGATGACTGAGATGACTGGCTGATGCACCACCTGTACCCCCCCCCCCACCACACTACACACGCGCGGTTTCCTCAAAATCACAGGGCAATGTCGGTGCCAGGCCAGCCTCTCCGCGCGCTACAACCATCAGCAGCAGTTCCTGTGGAACTGCGTCTCTGTGTGCCACCGCTTGCATATGCCAGTGGGCCGCATGGCCGGTGCATAGTGCACGTGGGGGGGGTGGCAGGGCATGGCATGCTTGTTGTCGTGGTGGGCGAAGCACGTGGGGAGGGGAGCGGTGGCGCAGCGGTTAGCGCTACGAACCCGACGGCAACCCACGAGATCTCATTCTCCGCTCGAGACCGACAACGCCACAGCGACTGTTTATCAGTCAGGGGTGGGGAACGTCCGGCCCGCGGGCCGTATAAGGCACCGCGAAATCATTTGGGTCTCTGGCCCTGCCAAGGCAACCGCAGGCGGGACACGAAATTCAATAAATCTAGGAGAGCAAAACCTGGAAAAGCAATTGCGAGTAGCAGCAACATCGTCAATAGCCGGCTAACATCATCACACGCCTCGCCCAAAGAGAAAGCAGTTCCAGCCCATCGTATTAGGGGGCGAGTTAATTAAATGGTTTGACCAAATATTAACGGGCTAATTTTTAAGTTGATCATTGTGTATGGCCCCGCGAATGATGTTACATTAATATCCAAATGGCCCTCGGCAGAAAAAAGGTTCCCCAACCCTTGGTTTATCTGAATCTGGCCTCCCTCCCCCAAGGTCGACCGGGCCTCGAACGGGCATCTGTTGCGGTGTGCGAACATCACCGCTAGGGAGACAAAGGCGGCCGGGCCTGGTGTTGGCCACCCACTCCGTCGTTGTGTCCCGCGCCGGCCTTCTTACTCGTGCGAGCAGCACTTGGCCCAACAGGCTGTTCAAGGCTATACGGGGAGTCTTTGTCTTTGTCGGAGATTCACGGTCCACTCTGGTACACTGTTCATTGCGCGTGTTTGTCTCTCTGCCCGTGTGTGACAGCACAGTCTTTGATGGCCCGTGTGTAGACGCGTTTATATCCGTCTCGATCCTACTGCATTGTTGGTCTGCGCGCACACACATCGATCGTATCTAAAACATCAATTGGGGAGACAAAGGCGGCCAGGCGCTGGTTGCTGGCTACCCCCGTAACCTCGTGTGCCAGTGTCGGCATTTCATCCCAGCTGCTCCTCGCTAACAGCACTTGCCCCAACAGTCTGTCAAGGCTACACGGGTGGTGGTGGTGGTGGAGGTGGTGGCGGGGTGGTGGTTGTCTTATCTCAACGTAAACCCACCGCTTAGACGACGTAGATCTGTCGAGAGGGATCTGCCATCATCACCACCACCGCCGTTCCGCTAGTCTGTGAAGGCCCCTGCATCTCAATCGCAAATACACAGACCGAGTGTCACCTCTCGACCCAACTTGACCCTCCCTCTTGTACACCACCCCTACAACCACCACCATCACCCTCTTGTACACCACCCCTACAACCACCACCACCACCCTCTTGTACACCACCCCTACAACCACCACCACCACTCTCTTGTACACCACCCCTACAACCACCACCACCACCCTCTTGTACACCACCCCTACAACCACCACCACCACCCTCTTGTACACCACCCCTACAACCACCACCACCACCCTCTTGTACACCACCCCTACAACCACCACCACCACCACCACCACTCTCTTGTACACCACCCCTACAACCACCACCACCACCGTCTTGTACACCACCCCTACAACCACCACCACCCTCTTGTACACCACCCCTACAACCACCACCACCCTCTTGTACACCACCCCTACAACCACCACCACCCTCTTGTACACCACCACTACAACCACCACCACCACCCTCTTGTACCCCACCACTACAACCACCACCACCACTCTCTTGTACACCACCCCTACAGCCACCACCACCACCCTCTTGTACACCACCCCTACAACCACCACCACCACCACCACCCTCTTGTACACCACCCCTACGACCACCACCACCACCACCACCCTCTTGTACACCACCCCTACAACCACCACCACCACCACCCTCTTGTACACCACCACTACAACCACCACCACTCTCTTGTACACCATCTTCCAACCACCACCACCACCCTCTTGTACACCACCCCTACAACCACCACCACCACCACCACCCTCTTGTACACCACCCCTACAACCACCACCACCACCCTCTTGTACACCACCCCTACAACCACTACCACCACCCTCTTGTACACCACCCCTACAACCACTACCACCACCCTCTTGTACACCACCCCTACAACCACCACCACTCTCTTGTACACCATCCTCCAACCACCACCACCACCCTCTTGTACACCACCCCTACAACCACCACCACCCTCTTGTACCCCACCCCTACAACCACCACCACCACCACCCTCTTGTACACCACCCCTACAACCACCACCACCACCACTCACTTGTACCCCACCCCTACAACCACCACCACCACCACCCTCTTGTACCCCACCCCTACAACCACCACCACCACCCTCTTGTACACCACCCCTACAACCACCACCACCACCACTCTCTTGTACACCACCCCTACAACCACCACCACCACCACCCTCTTGTACACCACCCCTACAACCACTACCACCACCCTCTTGTACACCACCCCTACAACCACTACCACCACCCTCTTGTACACCACCCCTACAACCACCACCACTCTCTTGTACACCATCCTCCAACCACCACCACCACCACCCTCTTGTACACCACCCCTACAACCACCACCACCCTCTTGTACCCCACCCCTACAACCACCACCACCACCACCCTCTTGTACACCACCCCTACAACCACCACCACCACCACTCACTTGTACCCCACCCCTACAACCACCACCACCACCACCCTCTTGTACCCCACCCCTACAACCACCACCACCACCACCCTCTTGTACACCACCCCTACAACCACCACCACCACCACTCTCTTGTACACCACCCCTACAACCACCACCACCACCATCACCCTCTTGTACACCACCACTACAACCACCACCACCCCACAAACCCCTCCCTCCGCCGGGGCCCCGACACTGCGGGCTCCTCGTGGACACTGCGTGAGACTTGGAGCTTCCCCCCGCAGACTCACGGGGAAACGCAGAAGCGCTCACAGGAGGAGCGTGGGTGACGAGTTGGCAGCAGCAGCAGCAACAGCAGCAGCAGGATCAGCAGCAGCAGCAAGGGCAGCAGCAGCAGCAACAGCAGCAGCAGGATCAGCAGCAGCAGCAGCGGCGGCGGCGACCGAGTTTGCAGGTAGCCACGTGCCGACTGGAACTCCGAGTTTGCTCGCAGTCGCGACGTGGTTCTCGGCCGTGAGTCTCGGGAATGTGTTTTTTTACTTGGGTGCACTTTGACGAGAGGTCACGAACGAAGTGGGGGGGAGGATGGAGGGGGGGGGCAGCTAACGCGCTTCTCAAGAGTGCACCCCAAAAGGCATGCGGATGCGCAGAGGGTGCGCGGAGCTGTGGTCTTAACCCCCCCGCCCCCCCGGGGGGCATGCGCCTCATTCTCGAACCCAGAGGGAGGTTCGTGCCCCCCCCCCCCATGCGCCTCCCTCTGCGTTCGAGAATGCTGCGGGCGTTTGAACTTTACAAAGTGTCCCTCTGCCTCTCTCTCTCTCTCTCCCTCGCGTGGCGTCGTGATGGAAATTGTGGATTGGTGAAGTATGGTCAAAACGACTCTACCCCCGCAAGAACCGTCAGTACGGCAGTGGATTGGCAAGAAAGTTGGCTGACGATGATGAACTTTGATTACACTTGGATACCCATAGAGCCATAAACTCACACAGAGACCCACAGACTCACACAGAGAGCCATAGACTCACACAGAGACCCACAGATTCACGCAGAGAGTCATAGCCTCACACAGAGACTCACAGACTCACGCAGAAACAGACTCACAGAGACCCACAGACTCACACAGAGACTCACAGACTCACGCAGAGACCCACAGACTCACACAGAGAGTCATAGCCTCACACAGAGACTCACAGACTCAAGCAGAGACCCACAGACTCACACAGAGAGCCATAGACTCACACAGAGACTCACAGACTCACACAGAGACCCTCAGACTCACACAGAGAGCCATAGACTCACACAGAGACCCATAGACTCACACGGAGACCCATAGACTCGCACAGAGACCCACAGACTCACACAGAGAGCCATAGACTCACACAGAGACCCTCAGACTCACACAGAGACCCATAGACTCGCACAGAGAGCCATTGACTCCGACAGGCCCATATACTTACATAGAGGCTCGGACCCACAGAGACTCATGCAGCTGCAGGGACCCATATAACTCACGGAGAGCCCCACAGACTCGCATAGAGACCCATAGATTGTATAGAGAACCATATACTCACTTAGAGACCCAAATATTGTTTCGAGACCCATAGATTCACATAGAGACCCATAGATTGTATAAAGACCCTTAGATTCTCACTTATAGACCCATAGACTCACATAGAGACCCATAGACTTACTGAGAGACCCATGGACTCACATAGAGACCCATAGACTTACTGAGAGACCCATAGACTCACATAGAGACCCATATATTGTATGAAACCCTTAGATTCTCACTTATAGACCCATAGACTCACATAGAGACCCAAATACTCACTGAGAGACCCATAGACTCACATAGAGACCTATAGACTTACTGAGAGACCCATGGCCTCACATAGAGACCCATAGACTCACATAGAGACCCATAGACTCACATAGAGACCCATAGACTCGCATAGAGACCCAAATACTCACTGAGAGACCCATAGACTCACATAGAGACCCATAGACTCACTGAAACACTCAGAGACTCACATAGAGACCCATAGACTCACTGAGAGACTCAGAGACTCACATAGAGACCCATAGACGCACATAGAGACCCATACACTCACTGAGAGACCCATAGATTGTATTTTGGACTCGCGTAGAGACCCACTCGGTTCTGCACATCTTGCAAAAAAACAAAACAGCCTGCCTGTCAAACAAAAAATGGTCTCTGGACATTGACCTTGACCTATGGACACAGTCGCGATTGAAGCGTGCACACTCTGCACATCGTGACATCGTCATCGCAAAGCGATTCCAACCCCCACGTGCAACCGTCATCAACCGTGGTCAGCCTACTGCTGGATGAAGGCCTCCCAAACCTAGCGTCCACCGCTCCGCGCTACCCCTCCCCGCCCCCGCACCTCCGATGAGCGTGATTGGCTGCGTACGGTGCGAAAGAAGTTCTACGTCCAAGCACGTGACGTGTCCTAGCCCCGCCCTCCCCCTCCCACCGCTGTCTATGACGTACGTTCTCTAAACCACGTGCTCCTCTCTTCCCACACGTAAACACACACGCTCCCCCCCCCCCCCCCCCCCCTGTGTAGCCTTAACAGACTATAGAGGCAATTGCTGGTAACCTGTGAAGGCCGGCACGGCACACGAGGGGGTTTGGGTGGCCAGCCAGCACCACGTCCGGCAGAGGGGTCTGTTGCAGTGGGAGTCTCCGCCTGATGTCAAGAGGAACGTGTCTTCGATGAAGTGCCATCTCAAGAGAAGTGTGTCAAGTCGTCTTTACGATTATATTCCGGTGTCCTAACTCCACCTTCAACTCGACTCCGTGTCAGATGCCGTCTTCGACTTCACTCGGCGAGTGCATGCAAGATCATTGCGTAATGACAGTAGAGTCTGCATGTGGTGTAAGTGGACTAGTGGCCACCGGAGGTAATGACAGGGGAGTCAGCCTGCAGTGCGAATGGACTGGTGGCCACGGGAGGTAATGAAAGGGGAGTCAGCCTGTAGTGCGAATGGATTAGTGGCTACGGGAGGTAATGACAGGGGAGTCAGCCTACAGTGTGAATGGACTAGTGGCCACCGGAGGTAATGGCAGGGGAGTCAGCCTGCAGTGCGAATGGACTAGTGGCCACGGTAGATAATGACAGGGGTATCAGTTGTGAGTGCGAAGGGACTAGTGGCGACAGGAATGATCGAGAAGGGAGCGTGGTCAGGCGACGGACGAGGACGGTGGAGTCTGCCATTGGAGCAAGGGTCCAGAGTCAGCGAGAAAGATCGAGAAGGGGGGGCGTGGCCTTGTGTTGGTATATAAGGGGGAGATGCGCGGGAGACTCGGGGCTGTTGCAGTGGGGGGTCTCCGCCTGATATGAAGTGAAACGTGTCTTTAATAAAGCGCCGTCTCAAGAGAAGTGTGTCAAGTCGTCTACACAATTGTATTCCGGTGTCCTAACTCCGCCTTCAACTTGACTCTGTGTCAGATGTCGTCTTCGAATTCACTCGGCGATTGCATTGCGGCAGGGAGCCCGCATCAAGAACCCATGTGGACATTTCGAGGTGAGAACCTCATTTCTTTAAGCAAACAAATGAAGAATCGAAAAAAGTCGTCACACTCTCTTTTTTCCAGTTTAGTCAACAGACCATGGCATGCCACGGTAAATAAAAACTGGCAAAGCAGACAACAAGGGAAATGTAAGCAGCACTTCAAATTTTGCATAATAGAGTTTTTTTTGGGTTAGATCGTGTAAATATATAAATGTGTCGTTAAGCCCGCTACCACCCGACACAGCCAACTAGTAAGGGTTGTCACGTAAACAGAACGTCGCCAATTCGTCACTAGTGCAGCACTAGTGTATAGTGTAGTGTATAGTAGTGTAGTGTATTGTGTAGTGTATAGTGTAGTGTATAGTAGTGTAGTGCATAGTGTAGTGTATAGTAGTGTAGTGTATAGTGTAGTGTATACTGTAGTGTATAGTGCAGTGTATAGTGCAGTATATAGTGTAGTGTATAGTGTAGTATATAGTATAGTGTATAGTAGTGTAGTGTATGGTGTAGTGTATAGTATAGTGTATAGTGTCGTGTATAGTGTACTAGTACAGCACACCGGTGTGTTGGAGAGCCATGCCACAACATTTACAATCCGAGTACGACGTTTCGCCATTAATTACAACCAGCTTCCAACCAGCTTCATCAGGCGATAGCCAGATTTGTGGAGAGGCCTAACTGTTTCGTTTCTTATATATGTAGATGTGGTGGCCACGCTTCTGCGCTCTTGCACAAAGTGGGGGGGGGGGATGACTAAGTCAACGTACATTATGCATGTGCATTACGCAAGCCCTTTGATCGGGTCCTTCCTGTCTATTGTGTGAATTAAAATAGCCGATCTGACAGTAATCCCTATTGAAGTATGGTGCCCTTTATAGGCATGCATTTAAATAATGTATTATTTGATGATTCGCTTCCACGCGGCACTAAGGCGGTGGAGGTTAAAATTATTTTAATTATTTTCAATTTCGATAGATTCTCTAATTAGTCTTGGCCAGTAGTAGCAAATGTTGACCCCATCCCCCCCTCCCCACCGAGACATATAACAGCCATATGAAAAAAGGTGTAACATGAGACCTTCACTCACGGCCCTAGGCTCTACGCAATGCTGACACACGCACAACACACAGTCCACAGCGGCCACTGGCTGCAAATCGCATCTGCATAGTTGTCAACCCACACAGTTCACCCCGTATTCTTGTACAGGGAAACATTGAGTTTTCAGGTCCATACTGCGCTTGAATTGAATGTTGTGAACGGTACCATTGTATCTAAATTGTCTTCAATTTGCTCAATGATTGTCCCGCCATCACCCGCTGTGACCAACAGCGCGATATTAAAACACTGACCTCCACCAACTGCATTGGGTCAAGTCGTTGTCATGGACAGGTTTCTAGTAGTGCACGTACATTTGCAAGTGGAAGGCAAATTTGACCGAACGGATGTCCAACTTATCGATTTGTTGTTGTTCAAGCAGCTTACGCGTATTTCAGAGCTGTGGTGCACATCGCGGACGCGAATGTCCATCCTCCGAAAGCGAATTATTCAGTCGAACAAATGAACCTCATGGCGAGACCCCGGGGTCCCATAAGCCACCGGCTCTCGCATAAACTGCGTTGCGACGTCATTTTATGTCTGTCGAAGGCGAACGACACGGCGATCTATTCCTCTCGACGAGCTATACACGATGCGCCAATCGAAGTTTCAAAGTTTTGTTTCTTCTGCACATTCGTCCTCGCCGCTGCGCTTGGACATGACATGACAACAGCACGATCCGCGCCAGGTGGGTCACGGCGTTAATGTGCGCGGTGGGACGGAGTCGACAAAAATAAATACATTCATTACGATTTTGACATCCGTTTATTCGGAACCCCGGGGTCCCGCCATGAGGTTCAATTATTGCACGCATTGTGCACCGTTACCGCTTTCCGCAAACGTTGTTATTATCTCGTACCAGAACGCAGAGAGATCCGTGGCGGGCCTCTCATTTTTTTACCAGCTGTGTTTTCGAAAGCGGCCCCCCCCCCCTCAATGGCCAGAAGCGTCATGGC